TTGGGTGACCTCCACATCCTAAATGAAAGCATGTGATGGTGCCATTTTTACAGATCAAAAACATTCAAATACTGGTGGGACTTCCCTGGTAGTCAAGTGGCTAAGACTCCAGGCTTTAATGCACAGGTTCAATCCCTGGTCAGGGAACTAAGATCCCACATGCCATGTGGCACAGCCAGGGAAGAAAAAAAGCATTCAAGTACTGGCAGGTCCTTATGGTTTGAGCAGATGTGTTCTCATTCCGTTTAGATTAGAGCCTCAGGAGATAGGTGAGATGACTCCATCTTACAGCTGGGGAGACTGAGTTCCCCGATGTCAGTGTCCGATCAAGGGTATGAAGCCTCTCGTCCGTCGTCAAGGCTGGGGAGGCCAACTAGTCTCCCGGCTGTCATTCTGGCGCTGTGCCTCCCTTTCAGCGTTTTCCTGCACTGCCCCTGCCACACCGCTGCACAGTTTGTGTATATTTGTAAGGAGTCAGTCCCTGGCCCCCCTTGACCGGGCTTCTCACAGCCACGGGCTCTGAACACAGATGGGGAGTGACCATGGCTGGTGTGGGCCCAGTCTTCAGGAGAGCCTGAGCTTTTAGGGATGGGGGGCAGTGTCTGGGCAGCAAGAGGACTGGGGCCAGGTGGGGGCTTCAGCCCCAGAGAGGGAGCCACTGAAAGGTGGGGGCTGGCAGAGGCCCTCCCGGTCCATGGAAGGGATTAGCAGTGGGCTCGGCATGGCCATGGCTGCCATCTGGGCTCTGCCAAGCTGGCCAGGCGCCAGGGGCAGGCCTGCTCAGTCCTCATGTCCTGGCCTCATCTCCTCTCAGCCGTGAGGTGACCGTGTCTGTAAGTGGCCCGAGTGCCCCAGGGTGCAGCACAGCCTGAGGCAGTGAGAGCATGCACCTTAGGAGGGTCTTGAGTGGAGGCGGGGTGGTGATGGTGGTGGTGGTGTTTGTTTTAAGCTCCTGGGCTTTGAAAGGCCTGGGCCTGCCTCTCCTGATGTCAGAACCACAGGCTCACCATGTGGCTCCCGGCCCCCCAGGGCAGGAGGGTAGAAGCTGGGGCATGGGCCCTCCATCTGAGAGCATGGCATCCCTGTGCAGGCCTGTGAGCTCTGGGGGTGGGGGTGGGGGGCGGGCGGTGAGCTGATGGGGCATTCCTGTCCCTGAGGTTTGGATGGGTGTCAGAAGTGGCTGCCTGGGCTTTGGGGTGCCATGTGTGTTCCTGGGTTCTGAGGAGGCCTCAGCAGGAAATGCGGATGGCTCCAGACCTGCTTTCTTTCCTTAGCTGCCGAGGCCCTGACCAGGGATTTCTCCATACTGAAGATCCGGCCCCTGACTCAGGGAGCCAGGCAGTCCAAGCTGAAGGCCCTGCAGAGGCCACGTAAGGGAGCCGGTGGTCTGGGTGGGAGGGCTGCTCGAGTGTGGGTCTGCCGTCTGGTTCACTGCCCTCTAAAGTGCTCTGCTTTCTCGCCCCTGGGCTGCAGGGACCCATGAGGTGGTCCTCTCCCACCCCAGGGGCCCCATCAGGAGAGCTGTCTGCCAGCTGCCCTGTCCCAGGCTTGCCCTCCGTTCACACCTCTTGGGAGTCTGGTTCGGGTGCAGAGGGGAAGCCTGGTCTTTGTGTCCGGCCGAGGAAGCCATGCTTCGCTGTGAGCTGTACAGGGCGTGGGCTTTGCTGTGACCCTGGCACTGGCGCGCCCTTAAACTGGCCTTGAGCAAGTCACTGGGTGTATGTGAGTCGGCCCCTTTCCCTGTGAGATAAGCGTGGGGGTGAGTGAGAGCCTGGCGGCCGTGCCCCCGCAGTGGCGAGAGGCACCCAGAAGGTGCCACGTAAGTGATGGCTCCTCCCCTTTGCTCTCCTCCTTCCAGGGAGCATGAGCGGCCTCAGGGGCCAGCTTCCCCCGCCTGCAGAGCAGAGGCTGGCTGGCAGAACTGGCCTGGAGAAGCCTGCTGAGGCCATCCACGTTCTTGTGGATTACATGGTCTTTGTCCCAGACTTCTTTTTTTTTTGCTCTGTATTTATTTATTTTTCATTTATTTATATTAGTTGGAGGCTAATTACTTTACAGTATTGTAGTGGTTTTTGCCATACATTGATATGAATCAGCCATGGATTTACATGTGTTCCCCATCCTGATCCCCCCTCCCACCTCCCTCCCCATCCCATTCCTCTGGGTATTCCCAGTGCACCAGCCCTGAGCACTTGTCTCATGCATCAAACCTGGACTGGCGATCTGTTTCACAATTGATAATCAATTATCCCAGGCTTCTTAGGGACGATAAACATCCTGTCTGTTGATCCAAGAGTGCCAGGTGTCCCTTCCTGGCCTGCTTGCCGTCTCAAAGGGCCCCTGCAAGGCAGGGAGGTGGACAGGATTAACGCCACCCTCCACCCCTGACAGAAGGAGAAACAGGGAGGGCACAGAGAGGTGGCAGGGTGAGTCAGGACCCCACAAGGGGCCAGGAGCCCTCGGTGGCCCCTCTCACCAGCATCAGGCCGGGTGCAGCCGGGCCTCAGGGGTGGGCTCTAACAGCCTCCAAGGCTGCTGTGTTTCTGGGAGGAGAGGCCACAGCCTTGAATTCAAGTCCCCACCCCATGGGGCTTTCCTTTCAGAGCTCCTGCATCTGGCGAAGGAGAGACCACAGACAAATACAGCTGTGGCCCGGAGGCTGGTGGCCCGGGCCCTGGGGCTCCAACACAGAAAGAAGGAGCGGCCTGCAGTGGAGCCTCCTGCCGCTCTGAGGCCCTGAGAGGCCCAGCCCTCCTGGATTGAGCTCCCCAACCCAGCTCGGGCCCCAACACCACAAGCCTTTACACACACCGGAGCAGCCCTGAGCCATACTTGGAGCATCGCTGTGAGGCGTGGTGGGCTTTAGTTTGGTCTAGTTTCTGAAGCTAAGCAAAAAATAAAAATGGAAGAATTTTAACATGATTGCTTCAAAATGTAATGGTCGGCAGTGAAACACTAGGGGGCGCTGTTCGCCCCCCATTGGAGACCTAGGGCTGCTGAAGAAGCAGGTCGCTTTAGGTGAATGACCTCAAACCAGCTGGACCTCCAAGGCATTTTTGAGCAGGGCCTGCCCAGTTTGTGGGGGTGGGTTGCACCTGTTGTGTGACATGTGCCCAGTGTCCCCGAGAGCAACTCTGGGCTATTGACCATGCTGAGACCCCCTCTGCCTCTGCTGTGTACTGGCCCTAGTGTTACCAGTGGTGTGGGTTACACAGGGGATCCCTGCAGAAATAAACATGCACTTGCCTCGAGGTGAAATCTGAAATGCCCTCTGAGTTCCCTCCCCTCGCAGGAATGGGTAGGAGGGCAGCTTTGTGGGGACAGGGTCCCAATACCCTGGTCTTTCTGGTTTGAGTGGAGCTGGTGACGATCCTGGCCCCCTGAGGTGATCATGGACCCCTCGGTTTGCTGGGCCGCAGCCCACTGTGGTGCAGAGGGAGTCCCAGGCCTGGCTGGATTGGGGTTCACTCACTGCCCTGGGGACTCGGGATCCATCCTCACTGGACCTCGGGGAAGAGCATGGGGCCCTGATCTGCTTCATCATCCCTCCCCCAGAGACCAGCCCAGGCACTGCCCTTTGGGGAAATTTCCTGAGACTGAAGGTTGGATGTCCCATCTGATCCTCACACAACCATGGTGCCCCTGACACATTTCCCTAATAGACAAGAGCCAAAGAAAGGCTGAGTTTCTGTGGATTCTCCTGGTCGCCTTAGAGTGCTGCTCTCGCTGGCAGCTGCTCCTCCTCTGTGGTGGGAACGGAAGGAGGCCCCTGTGATGGTTCAGTGGTAAACAGCTTGCCCGCAGTGCAGGTTCGATCCCTGGGTTGGGAAGATCCCCTGGAATAGGAGTCACAACCCACTCCAGTATTCTTGCCTGGGAATCCCATGGACAGAGGAGCCTGGTGGGATACAGTCCATGGGGTCGCGAAAGAGTCAGATAAAACTTAGCGACTAAACACCAACCTGTAGCCAATGCCGGACGGGAGGTGTCTGGAGCCCACGTCCTAACAAGAGAGAACCTGCAAAGGTGTGCAGCTCCCTATCTGCGACTGGGGAAAGGAGCCTGTGGCTTACGGACTGTGCACAGAGGCCCAAATGAAACACACTTGCAGGTCATAAATCTTTTATTTGGAGTTTCAAGTATGTGTAAGTGTCCGTGATGACACATGGCGATCGGTGAGCGTCGTCCTCACCCAGAACCCTGGTTCTAGCACCGTTGAATCAATTACCCACAGAATCGGAAGGACAGACAGAGGAGTCACTTACACAGGTGGGCTGGTTTTTCTTTTGACCTCTACGTTCAAAGGCCCAGATGCCCGATATGGAATGCCACTAAATTACTTTGTGTTTTAAAGTCTGTGAAAATAGAATATAATTATAGTATCTTGAAAAATAGGAGGACACAGGGGTGTAGGTGTCTGGGGGCAAGAGAAGCACCGTCTCTGAGCTCATTGGCTCAGAAGGTGGGTGGCAGCATCACTTATACGTGAGAACAGAATGAAGGGAGTAGAGGCAGTTCATTTAACTGGAAGGGAAGCTTAGATACTCAAGTTGACTGGAAACAGGCTAAGAGGAGGAGAAGTGGGATTCAGCCTGACCTCCTTGGGTTGCTAACCCATGCTGCCAACATGTAACTTGAGAAGAAAACGGCCCCGTGTTATCTGTGGTGAGCTGGGCAGGCAGTGAGGCTCGGAGTGGACCACACCTTGGATGGGACGAGCAGCCGACCACTGTGCGCCCATGGTCCCGGCCAGGATGGCTCTTGGTTGGCGCTGCTCCCCGCCGCCCCGTGGACGAGCCCCAGCCCCGGAGGCTGTCCCAGGCTGCGGGTGTCAGGAACACGCCTTCCTCGCCTTCCTCCTGAGCTTGGCCGAGGGCTGCAGGGGGACGAGACGGGCGGGGCCGGGCTGGATGAGGGGGAGCAGGGCAATATCCGGTCAGACTGCAGTTGTTGGGGGAGATGCCCGTGGCCCGAAGGCAGGAGGTGACCACGTTGCCACTTTACCGCCTGGAGACCTGGTTATTTATGAGTCCACTGAAGTGCTCAAACTTTTTTTCTGTCTCTTCACTGAAGGAACCACCTGGGGGAACAGGCATCAGAGAGACAGTGTTGGGTAAACCGGATGCACAGGTCTCCCCGCAGGGCTGGAGCCCCCCACCCTCACCAGGCGGCCTGCGGAGACCACCTGCGTGTGATGCCAGAAGGGCAGTGACAGGTGCTGGCCATCTGTAGGGCCAGGCTCAAGTCAGCTGCCTGGCAGAGTCGGCTCAAGGAGTGACTTCATCCAGCGCCGTTAGTTTTCGCTTCTATCGAGAGCGAGGCCGGCACCTTGCCAGTGGAGGAGAAAGCCCAGCCTCCCCTTTTGGAACCCAGGTTGTATAATGCAGGGGAAAGCTTCTCCATTGGTGGCTAAAAGCCACGGTGGTTCACCAGCTTCTAGAGCTCGACAGGAACGAGACACACAGAGCCCCCAGATTGCCAACGCCCACATTTTTGTGGTCTCACACATAATGAGGTGGTGGCCTCAGCTCTGCCAGCCCTTAAATAGCTTTGGGGTCTGTGTTGGGCCAGCCCATTTCTGTCCCATTCTCTCGCCTCAGCCAGAGCTGGCCGTGAAAACCCCATCTTCATCCAGGCCTGTGTGTTCACCATGTCCTTCCCGTGTGTGGAAACTTGAGACTGGCCCCACTCCCCATGGTCTTTAGCCAACTTAGGAAGGCGCTCTGTTTCCTGGAGAAAGTGGGGCAGCTCCCGCCCGTCTCCTGGAGGTGGACTGAGGAGGGGCGCGGTGCTCCCCAGCAGGGCCCCAGGGCCTCACCTATATGGCAGTTGTACATCCAGATGCGGTGGCCATCATACCGGGTCCTGCACTTCATGACGTTGTTGGTGTAGTCAGACTCCGCCACCTCGTAGTTGGGATTGATGACCACCTGGGGGAGAATCAGGTCAGAGCGGGTCCTGCCTCGGCCACCCTCCATCCTAGGCCTGGCTGCGATGCTGAGACCGGGCTGAGCTCACGAGATGGAGCAGGCGTGGCTGGTGCTGTCTTCTCAGAGCAGGAGGGAGGGTGCAGGACTGGCTAGAGAGGAGGCCGGGGAGGCAGAGGGGAGACCCGGAGGAGAACTCCATGCACCTCACACAAACACACACCCTACCAAGAGGAAGCCTTCAGATGGGGCCAGGGATAGTTACCGAGTTTTGGATAGACATGTACGTACTTAAAATGGATCACTAGCAAGGACCTACTGTCCAGCACAGGAAACTCTGCTCAATGGTACATGGCAGCCTGGCTGGGAGGGGGGTTTGGGGGTGAATGGATACATGTATATGTTTGGTTGAGTCCCTTCGCTGTTCAGCTGAAACTATCAACACTGTTTGTTAATCAGTTATACTCCAGTAAGAGGAAGGCATGACAACCCACTCTAGTATTCTTGCCTAGAGAATCCCTGTGGCCACAGGAGTCTGGTGGGCTACAGTCCATGGGGTCACAAAGAGTCAGACACGACTGAGCAACTAACCACAGCACAGCACATCCCCCAATACAGAATAAAAAGTTGTGTTGTTTTTTTTTTAAAAAAGATTGTTAATCACTCAGTCATGTCCGACTCTTCGTGACCCCATGGACTGTAGCGCATCAGGCTCCTCTGTCCATGGGATTCTCCAGGCAAAAATACTAGAGTAGGGAGCCATTCCCTTTTCCCAGGGATTTTCCCAACCCAGGCGTGCCTTCAAAATGGGGTTACCCTCTTGGGGTGCCAGAGAGGTTTGAGGTTAGTAGAGAAGCAGGAGCTGAAGCCTGGGGAGGCCACAAAACAGCTGCTGAAAGAGTCAGAAGGGAGCCGGGGAGCAGGACTTGCTGGGAGGGCATGGGGACCAGGACTGGGTGCTGTGGGGAGTCCGAGGGGGGCTGCCCTGGGCACTGGAGATGACACTGCTCCTGGACGCGTGACATTAGACACAACCCTTCCATTCTCTGGGTCCAGGTTTGCTCTAGGGGGTCCCCAAGCCCTTTCTGCTCACCAGGGCAGGTTTCCCCCTTGTACCCCCTTCCTCTGAGTCATCCCAGGTAAGAGGGCGGCATCCAGAGGAGCAGGAGCAGGAGTGACCATTCTTTTGAGGGGGCTTCTGGGATTGGTCAGTCCTAAAGGAAATTAACCAATCAGTCCTAAAGGAGATCAGTCCCTCAGTCCTAAAGGAGATCAAACCAGTTAGTCCTAAAGGAGATCAACCCTGAATATTCATTGGAAGGACTGATGCTGAAGTTGAAGCTCCAATACTTTGGCCACCTGACTCAAAGGGCTAACTCATTAGAAAAGACCCTGAAGGTGGGAGGGGAAGGGGATGACAGAGGATGAGATGGTTGGATGGAATCACCGAATCAACGGACATGAACTTGGGCAAACTCTAGGAGATAGTGAGGGACTGGGAGGCCTGGCGTGCTACCGTTCATTGGGTCGCAAACAGTTGGTCACGACTTGGCAACTGAACAACAAAAGCAACTGGGAGCAGACAGAAAAGGGATATTCAATGGTGAGGAGCCCAGAGGAGGAACTGAAGGATGGGAAGGTGAGGAGACAGGAGCTGGGCCTGGGGCTGTGGGCAAAAGTGTGGAGGGCACAGATGAGGCTTTCTCCGAGGGTCCTGCAACATCTGGAAGGGCTGAGACCCCAAGGAGGCAAGGTGGACTGGGCCGTCCATGGTCAGTATGATGGGAGAGGGACAGCCTGCTCGTTAAGGTGCATTATATAGGCTTGGGGCCCTCAGGACCTCTCCCTCCAGGACTGAGAGTCAGACCATAAAGAAGGTTGAGGGCTGAAGAATTGATGCTTTTGAACTGTGGTGCTGGAGAAGACTCTTGAGAGTCCCTTGGACAGCAAGGGGACAAAACCAGTCAGTCCTAAAGGAAATCAACCCTGAATATTCATTGGAAGGACTGATGCTGAAGCTGAAACTCCAATACCTTGGCCACCAGATGCAAAGAACCAACTCATTGGAAAAGCCCCTGATGCTGGGAAAGATTGAGGGCAGGAGAAAGGGATGACAGAGGATGAGATGGTTGGATGGCATCACCAACTCAATGGACATGAGTTTGAGCAAACTCTGGGAGATAGTGAAGGACAGGAAAACCTGGTGTGCTGCAGTCCATGGGGTCACAAAGAGTTGGACATGACTTAGTAGCTAAACAGTAACAACAGTGGCCCTTTAGCAAGCTGGCTGGGCCTGCCAGAGCTGCTGTGGGAAACAGGTCAGTGGGGGGTCTCCAGCCCTGAGTCCTAGCCGGTGCAGCCCATTCTAGGGGCTCTAGGTTATGTCCCATGGTGACTCTGTCTCTCTAGGTAAGGCTGGAAAATGTCCTGCTCTGGGGTGGCCTTACTTTGATCTGTTTTCTGCCTGACAACCTTAATTGTGCCAAGTCCCAGCCCATGCGTGGCTCATAGCCCAGGACAGACAAACCCCCTGCACCAAAACCCAGGCAGCCCTTTGCTCACAGATAGTCACGCCCCCAGCATGGGTCCCTGCAGGGTGACCGTGAGGGCAGTGGGGACCTTATGAGGACCCATGTGACCCACTCGGGTGCAAGGGTGAGAGCTGAAATGAATAGTCTCCACAATTCCATCAAACTCATATGGAGGGTCCTCAGTCTCTTGGGGATCTGTGGGCAGTGGCTTTAGTTCCTTAGACAGGAGATCTGCTGTGGTTTACAACAGCCAACATGTGGAAGCAACCTAAGAGTCCATCAACAGATGAATGGGTAAAGATGTGACGTATATGTATGTATACACACAATGGAATACTCAGCCAGAAAAAAAAAAGAAACTTTGCCATTTGCAATAACGTGGATGGACTTGAGGGTATTATGCTTAGTGGAATAAGTCAGAGAAAGAAAAATACTGCATATTATTACGTATATATGCAATCTAAAAAACACAACAAACCAGTGAATGTAACAAAAAAGAAGAGGACTCACAGATACAGAGAATAAGCTAGTGGTCACCAGTGGGGAGAGGGAAATGGGGAGAGGCAAGATAGGGGTACAAACTGCTATGTATGAAATAAACTATAAGGATATACTGCACTTCTCTAATAACTATAAGTGGGGTATAATCTAGAAACATTTTGAATTGCTATATTGGACACCTGAAACTAATACTGTAAATCAATTATACCTCAATTTTTAAAAACTTAAAAAAAACACAAACAAAATAAAAAGGCAGTGGCAGCTTTGTGTTGAAAAACAAAAAAGATCTGCTGTGGATCCAGGCAATGGTGGGAATTAGGGATCTAATCACTCTGGGAACCCTGCCTCTGAGCCTCTGTGCGCTGGCCTCCTGGGCTGGAACGCCACCCCCTCTCCAACCCAGCTTTCTCCTGCTTCTGCAGCACTGCTGGGGTCTGCTGCTGGGTCCACACGGGAATGGAGAGGGCCAGTACCCCCAGGCCAGGACTCTCCAAGTCTAAAGCTCCACGTCCAGCCCAGGGGAAGATGACCTGGCCTTGCTGGCTGTGAAGTGCGGGTAATGATAATGCCCATCCCTGAGGATTACATGAGATGCTGGGTTCACAGGGTGTGGGCAGGGTCTGGTCCACAACTGATCTTCAGTGTACAAGTACGTGCGTGCTCAGTCGTGTCCGTCTCTTTGTGACCTCCTGGACTGTGGTCCACCAGGCTCCTCTTGTCTATGGAATCTTTCCAGGCAAGAATACGGGAGTAGGTTGCCATTTCCTACTCCAGGGGATCTTCCCAACCCAGGGATCAAACCCACATCTCTTGCATCTCTTGCATTGGTAGGCAGATTCTTTACCACTGGGCCATCTGGGAAGCCCTTTAATGAGTCACAGTTATTAAACAGACATTATCAAAATACATGACGCTACACGTTCCCCTTGCAAAGGGGTAGCAGACCTCAAACATAAACTGGAGTCGTGTACAGAGACATGGGTATTCGATTCTTTAAATAAAGAGCACTCTGCTCTTCGCTTGGGCCTCTCCAAGTCTGCGGTTCTGGGCTTGTGGGTGGAAAAGTGCTTGGCTGTCTGATTACCAGTCTCTGAAACTGACCAGGGAAACTTTCAGAGCCCCTCTGTGGTCATTCCCTGCAGGTGTCGGTTCCTCCCTGGACTGTCTATAAGGTGGGGACTGTGGCCAGGCCCGGGGCTGGCTGAATGCCCTCCTCGGAAAGCTTTCAAGACAAAATGACACATTTCTGGTCACCCAAGAATCAAGCTTGAAAGCAAGGTGGGTGGGGATGTGGGAAAAATAAGGTGAAACGAAGTCTCCGCGGGCAGGAGTGCGCCTGTGTACCTGCACGGGAGACGTTGGGGATATGGTGACCCTGGGTCCCCCACCAGTCTGGGCCCTGGCTGGGGCCGGCAGCTATTTGCAGGAAGGTGGGAGGCCACTGCTTCTTAGCTCTTGTCTCAGGGTGGCGCTTCCCCTGGACAAAGTATGTAGAAGCCCTGGGAAGTCGCCGCACAAATAGTCACCGGACAGGCTGTCTCTAGTACCTAACAATTTACCATTATAGGTTTATTTCTTTGCACTGAAATTGCCCCCTCTGCAGATCCACTGCTATGAGGCAAACATTTCTGGGAGAGGCAAGTCACAGACATTTGTGAGTGAATGGCTCTTTGTGCGATTGCTTTTAGCCTTGACAGCACAGGCCAAGACAGCCTGAGGGAGGGCACTGGGAGAAACCAGGGTGGAGGTGCAAGTACAGCTCCAAAGACACAAGAAGTGTAGGCTGCCTTAGAGTCTGCACAGACTCTCAGCCCGAGGACCAAATCTGGCCTGCAGACGCCCTTTGATTCGCAAGCACCAGGTCCAGGAGTCTGCCCTTTGCACAGCCCAGCCTCCATGCCTGTATTTTCTGCCTGGGCACCATCCGAAGGAGGCTGCCTACCTATTTGCTCAGGCAGAGACCCCTCCTCCCATTAGCTGGGGGCCTGGAGCCCCTTACGTGCCTCACCTGGAACAGGTAGTCTCCAGGAGGCACGTCGGTGATGTCAACCCACTGGCAATCGATGTCATGACGGTACATGTCCCAGCAGCCCATGGTGATGCCCTGCTCACCAAAGTTGGCACACTCGTAACTCTTCTGGATGTCTGCATGTGGGGACAGAGGGAAGCCCAGTCACCAGGCACCCGTGGCCCCTCCGCTGCCCTCCCCACAAAGGCCCCCGAGCAGCCTGCTAAGTGGGAGGCATCCCCAGATCCCACCTTCAGCATCTCTCCCTTCTCCAGGCCCACAGCCTTGGCTGTCTCTGGGCTCAGCTCATCCCCGCTCTGCTCTGCTTTTGGTAGAATCCTCCCTCAATTCCCCATCCACATTCCACTGCGTCCTCCTCCATGAAGCCTTCCTGGGCCACTCTGGCCCACCCTGGCCGTTCTGAGGAATATCAGCCTGGGAATGAAGCGTGTGCTATTCTGGGTAAATTATGGTGTACATTGTGGAGCCTGATGTGGGGTCATCTGGTCTCCCCGAGGGCATCCGCTCTTGGATGTGGTCTCGGTCTGACCCATGTCTCTGACCCGTCCTGGGTCAGCCCATTGTGTGGCACATAGTAGGTGCTCGAAACCCATCTGCTGGGTGATTTCATGACATGCCAGGGGCCATGTCAACCACCGACAACCAGCACCCATTTGCGAGAGCCTGCCGAGCCTGGGCGCTACTCTAAGCCCCAGCTGCCCTGAGGAGAGTTGCGTGTCTCCTCTTAAGAGAGCTCGGTCAGGCCAGGATGGCAGGTGCGCCCGCAGTGGTCATCATGCAGGTATGGAAGCGACCGGGGGCGTGGGTGCGATGCTGTCTCTGCCTGGGGCAGTCAAGAGAGTCTGGGAACCTCAAAGTGGGGCTTTCAGCTTGAACTGGAAGGTAAGAACCTGGGGGGCTTGTGTGTCTGTGTTGGACACAGAGAGAAAGTGTGGCAGCCAGAGCGGAAGGGGACCGCGTGTCAGGTTCAAGGGTCTGAGCCTCACCAGGGAGACCCACCTGTGGACTCACTGGATCCACCAGTGCCCATCAGCATGACTCTGGGGACCCAGGTGCCTTCATAGCCAGGCCTTGCCCGCCCCACCCCTCCAGCCCCAGATGGTAGTCTCGAGGTCCCCAGTGAGGAAGGTCCTGGGCGGGTCAGCAGGGGCCAGGGTGACAGAGTCCCGAGCCAGGCCTGGGATCCTGGCCAAATGAGCACAGGTGGGAGCATCTGAGTCCCTTGGAGTCTCCCCAGCCCGCCCTGTCGCCCGAATACCTCCTTCACACTCTGTGTCCTCCAAGCAGAAGCTAGCTTTGTGGCCCTCTGCCACCTTGGTGCCATTGAGGTTCAGCAGGTCGTAGTGGGTGAACACCTCCATGCTGTGGTAATGCCTGCAGGTGAGAGGGGGGCCTGGATGTCAGTTTCCGGAGGGAGTGCCACCTGCAAGCGATGGCCCAGCTGGCCATTCCCCTCCGGGGACACCTCGAGCAGAGCAGCGTGGTCCAAAGCGGTGGTGGAGGGAGAAAAGTGGGCAATGGACAGGGCATTATGAGATGGGGGGTGGGACAGAAGCCAGGAATCGTGGCGCTTCCATGGGCTCTGGAGGGGGACAACCCGCTACCTTCCCAAGCCTCAGTTTTTTCATCTGCTCAATGGGAATAATAATGCAATGCACAGGGTGCTATGGGAATTAATCAGATAAACTGATGAACAGGGGGCTCAGCATCAATAAGCTGAGCACTTTCTGCACTTTCTGCAGATGAATGCAAGTCACTCTTCGATGTCTTTAGGAAACATTTAAAGTGGGAGTATGGTCAGGAGGGAGACAGAATGAAGAGCGGAAGGAGGAGCAGGCGCTGATGAGCAGGGCACACACGTGTCCCAGACTAGGTGATGGAGGCAGAAACCTGTGCTCCTGGGATCAAGAAAATTTTTTTAAAAAAGAGGGGGAAAAAGGGGCTTAGAGACCCCGTGGGAGGGAGGGGTGACCAGCACATCCTATAGAAGGGAACAGAGAGGGAAGAGAGATTGTGCACTCCTGTGGCTCTTGCCCCGGATGACCATTTACCTAACGGGGGCCCATCTCGTCACTCGGGAAGAACTTAGAACAGATGCAGGTTCTGGGAAAGGCCTGCATTTAACATGGGAAACATGGCTTCCGAGGGGCCTTCCTGAGGGGCTGGCTGCCAAGCCCATCCTCAGCTGCTACACATCTTATGACAAGTGGCTGCAAGTATTCGCGCTTGCTTGTCTGTCATTCCAGGAACATTTGGGAAACGGGGGAAGGTAACACGGTTCCAAGGCTTGGGGAACAGAATCACGTGTTTTGTTTGTCTGTGACCTGAGTTCCCTCCGCAGGAAAGAGGGAATGATAGCATGACCCCCTGTCAGGGGTTCTGTAAAGATGAACTAGGAGACGGACTTCCCTGGTTGGGTCCAGAGGCTAAGACTCTGCCTTCCAATGTGGGGGTACAGGTTCAACCCCTGGGCAGGAAGCTAAGATCCTGCAGGCCTTGTGGCCAAAAAACCAAAATGTAAAACAGAAGCAATATGGTAACAAATTCAATAAAGACTTTAAAAAAATAAATAAAAGTAAACTATTAATGGGAAAAAAAACCCATGGATTAGGAAAGTCACAGAAATGCCTAACATGGGGCTTGAGACTGAGGAACACTCAGTACCTACCCCCGGTACCTTAGCGCTACTACTCGCAGGAGTGATGGTGTCGCGTTTTATTACTATCAACACCGCTACCATTGCTACGATTGTGTGTACCATTGACACGACTGAGTGACTGATTGTTTGTGACCCTATGGACTGTAGCCTGCCAGGGCTCTGTCCATGGGATTCTCCAGGCCAGAATACTGGAGAGGGTTGCCATTCCCTTCTCCAGGGTACCCATCGCTGCGATTATTTCCTGGCTGACAGCAGCTTCCTTGCCACGCACCCCCCCACCCCCAGCCTTAGGTGTTTGCCTTCAGGCTCTCTCGGCTGGATGGGAACAGAAGAGGACAGAGAGAAGAGGAAAATTAAAAGGATAACTTTTCAGAGAGGAAATGAGAGGCTCTTTCCCCTTCTTCCTGCATTGGGCTGGTGCTATAAATAATGTCAGAAGTTCCTAACTTGGGCTTTTCCCAGGTCCCTTGGGTTCCTGGGTAAAAGGATGCTGAGCCAGGGGCCCATGGGGAACAGTCACAAGGATGCATTCTGTGGCAGTTGAAGGACTGATTTTGAAAGAGTCTATTTTGGCTTCTTGAAGGAGCAAGATGAGACACGAGGTCTGACTCACTGCCTAAAACATGTCTGCCTCTTTCAGAGAGGGGTTTATGTTGCTATGTTTACTGGCTGGAAAGACTGAAGAGGAATAGGTTTATGTTCCGCTGTCTAAACAACACGCAGACGGAGCCCACAGACAGACTCTTGTAAGGCTGACCTTCTCCTGCTCCCCCTGCTTTCTGCAGACTTGATTTAAGAGTCTTCCCCGGCTCTTCATTTTTTCCCCTGTGGACACGGGGAGGGAAGCAGCTGGCTGGAGATTCATGATGCTAGCTAGCTGTGGTCCGGAAGCCTCTGTGCTTTACTGCGGGGGCGTGTGTGGGCATCACCTCCAGGGCCACCTCTCTGTCCCAGCGGGCTAGTTGGAGAGCCCAGGGGCACCCACCCTTCACTACCCACACTCACACCCCAGGAGACTCAGATCAAGGCTGCTGGGAAGGAGGGAGGAAGCATCTGGTGATCCAGGGACATTTCCTCATTTCAGGCTGAGCGTCCTGATCTTCAGAGGTCTAAGAGGTAGCCTGATCCATGGGATAAAGACAGGGAAACGCTGGTCTGCAGAGAGATTCAGGCAGTCTAGGCAGGAGAGAACACCAGATGCTGGGTCACTGGAGGCCAGGGGAGGTCACTGGAACTTGGAGGAGAGGAAGGGTGATCTTCACTGTGAGTCTAGAGAGCGAGGCACACTAGGCCATGGCAGCGGCCGAGGCACAGGGCTCTGGGTGAACACGTGGATGACAGACAAAGCTAGTCCAGAAGAAGGGAGGTTTGGGTACATTCTTCATTACCCTAGGTCATCCCGGGCCCAATAAGACTTTCCATCTGAGCGTCAGTGCATATTATAGAGATGCTTCACTCTTCTTCCTTTCCCAGACACTTCCTTTCTCATGTGTCCCCAGTGCCTCCAGGATGGGCAGTACTGGCTGGCACTCAGTTGAGGATTGGAAGATGCTCCCATTCCCATTTCAGAGGACATGGGGGCTGTTCCAACCTCAGGAGGTGCTTCCACAAAGGGCAGGAGCCCTTCTGCCCGCTCAGCCTTGCCTTTCCCCACCTGCGAGGCAGTCCTCGGGTGGAACAAAGCCCCCTGGACAGGACGAAGGCCTCGATTTGGCTCACCAAGGCTGCACTGAATCTGCAGGGCTTTGACCCAAAACACGGGCTGCTCTGCACATGGTCAGGGCGGGGCAGAATGAACGAAAGTCCCGCCTTTTGTAGCCGGGCCACCCCTGATCAGAGGGGCTGGCACCTGCGTTGGCTATCCATCTCCCTGCATCTCCAGCTCCCAGCTCCCCTCCAGGGCTTGCCTGAGGTAGGGGGCAAGGCAGGACGCTGCACCCTGGGACACAGCGGGGAGTGAGAACCAGGAGCAGCAAGGCTGCCCTGTGACATCATGTGCCAGGTGAGCAGTGTGGCCCGTTACCCGGGGCGCAAGAAGCAGGCAGGGGACCCCCGTCAGGATCATGAGTCGAGGCCCATATTCATGGGAGAGAATGGCTCGGGGCATCGCCCTTTAGGCTGGCGCGTGAGGAGGCTCAGAGGGCTCAGCCTCCACGCTTCACCTTGTGCGCGCGTGCTGAGTGGCTGCGTGTCCAACTCTCTGTGACCCTATGAACTGCAGCCCGACAGGCTCCTCTGTCCATGGGATCTCCAGGCAAGAACACTGGAATGGGTGCCATTTCCTTCTCCAGGGGATCTTCCTGACCCAGGGATCAAGCCCACATCTCCTGCATTTCCTGCACTGGCAGGCGGGTTCTTTATGGCTTTGCCACCTGGAAGCCCCCGTGGTGTTTCATCTTAGCACTTTCAAAGACTATACCTCTGTTCTTCATCATAGCATCAGCTAAATTGGGAGTGACCACTTTGCAGATTCAGGCTAACTTGGGCCAGAGTTCTCAACTTTGACTTCACAGATGGGCTTCAGCATCTGTAAATCTGCTGAAACTGGGTGTAAAATCCAGAAATAATTTTTTTGAGTGGAGGATGGGTCAGCTCTCATCATGCTCCCAAAGGGACTCAACAGAGAGGTTCAGGGCCAGGAGTCCTGTTGAAGGTCCTCCCACAGGGCCTGGAGAAGCTCCCCCGCAGCTCTGGAGGCCAGCAGTGGGGAATTTCTTACACTCCCTGGGGTCTTGTGGTCAGAGGTTCTCAGCCACAGTCCAGGAGGGCGAGGCTGAAGGGACATATGCTTAGCCAGTATGATCTTTCCCACCCATTCCTTCCAAACCATTGATTGCAACATCTGTAAACAAAGAAAGGAAATAGAACTCAGGAAAAGCAGGGTTTGGGGTGGGGAGGTCAGGGTAGCTTGGAGCTCCAGATCAGAAGAAACACTTCCATGAGGTCACCATGTGTATTCTTAAGAGAAGAAACCATTCCTTGGAGAGCAAGCCTATGTCACAGGGAGAGCCCTACTGTGTGATGTCTGGGTGGAGCAGCATATATGCAGCAGAGACACAATTACCTTCTACTTATAGACCCAAAGGGCAGTGCTTCCGCCATGTATTCTTGGAAGGAAATCAGGCACCCATATGTCAGGGCTTTAATTTTACTCTCTGACTCCCTCCCTGCAGAAGACCTCATGCTTCTATATAAAGACCCAAACTTCTTTGGCTAATGAGGACTTTCAGGACATACCAAAAGTAATTGCAGTTGACCTTTGAACAACACAGAGGTTAGGGGCACTGACCTCCCCGAAGTTGAAAATCCAAGAACTGCTATCTCAGCCTCAGAAACAAAAGAGCTCAGAAATGACTCACCCGAGGGCAGGAAACTGAAACTGCCTGGATAGAATCGGGACACAAGCAGCTCTAATTCTTTTGATTCCACGTATTGTGATTTCTAGTCGAACACAAACTTTTCCCCACACTGAGTTAATTTAAAAGCTATAAGATGAAAATATGTAGAGGTACTATGTTAACTGGAAAAAAAATCCATGTATAAATGGACCCATGCATTTCAAATCTGTGTTGTTCAAGGGTCAACTACATAAAGGAATATTAGCACCCCTGAGTTGTATCATAGTCCTTTCTTTTTTTTTTTGATATGGACCATTTTTGACCAGATTATTAAATCTGTTACAATAAAGCTTCTGTTTTATGTTTTGGTTTTCTGGCCATGAAGCATGTAGGGTCTTAGCTCCACTGACCGGGGATTGAACCTGCAACCCCCTGCATTGGAAGGTGAACTCTTCACCACTGGGCTACCAGGGAAGTTCAAGTTGTCCTTTCTTTTGAAATGGATTGAACAACTCTTTCCCTAAACAGTTTCAAATGTGACTAGGCCATAAATTATGACATGGAAAAGCAGCCCAACAGATTTGTGATGAAGACTAGGGGAAAGACAGAAAAGGGTGAGTCTCTCAGTCGTGTCCGACTCTTTGTGACCCCATGGGCTGTAGCCCACCAGGCTCCTCTGTGCATGGGACTCTCTAGACAAGGATACTGGAGTAGGTTGCCATTCCCGTCTCCAGGGGACCTTCCCGACCCAGGAATGGAACCCAGGTCTCTTGCATCACAGGCAGATTTTTTTCACTGTCTGAGCCACGGGGGAAGCCCTTCTGAAGACCGTGGGAGGTACCAGGAAGGGCACATACTGGGGGTCAGGCAGCCCCAGTCAGCGCCCCGTTCCCCAACCTCATCCTGGACAAGTCATGCGAATGCAGAGCCTCGGCTTCCTGATTCAGAAGGAGGGTACCCTGCCTGGTACCTTTTTCTACCAACTTCAGCTCTTGTGTCCCTAACAGTGATCATCACGCTTCAGAGCTGGAAGGATACCTAGAGGTCAGCCAGACTGGGGCCTCTCAGGCTGATGGCACACAATCCCTTGGGGACCTGTTAACACGCAGATTCTTACACAATCGTCAATCTCCCACTGGCCCTGGATTTGGCACTGACTGCAGATGCTGCCAGCCCTCTAGGAGATGTGGTGCAAAACTCTTGTAGGGATGGGATTCTGAGCACAGACACCCTGTACTCCCACCAGGCCCAAGTCTGTGGTCCCTCGGGGGAGGGGTGGGGAGGTGGCTGCCGTCTTAAATGGCAGGGCCCTCCCTTTCTTCGTTTCCAAAACTGCTCACTCTGTTCCCTCTACCCACCCAGCTCAGGTCTGAGTAGGAAAATGAGAGTCAGCAGCAGCAGACCGAAGGTTCTGTGTTAGGGTGGGAATCAAGCAAAGGAACAAAAAGGAGGAGGCTGGCGAGCACAGGGGGATGAGCGTCAAGGTTTCTGCCGGCTCTGGCATGGGCCGGTCTGGGGCTGTGCTCTGCTCTGGTGCAGGGATTTATACGGCACTGGGGACAGAGCCACAGACTGAGGGCGGGAAGGCACAGCGGAGGCCCCGGCTCATGCGGCCCAGATGGCTTGACATCATGCAGCTGGTTAGAGGCATGGCTGGGTCTAAAGACCAGGTCTCATGACTCCTGGGCCAAGAACTTGTGTCTCCACACTCACCATCTTCCTAGAGATGTTCAACACGTATAGCATACTGGTATATACCCACATGCCACAAGCAGAGAGACAGCATGCCACCACTAGAGAAGCCTGGGCACAATGCAGACCCAGTACAGCCAAAAATAAATTAGAATAGACTAGAAGAAAATATATTTCTACATGAACTCAGCACCCAACACCTGCAGCACCCCAAGCTCCCTGCAGAGCACAAATGTGCTGAGAACACACCTGAAACCATCGACTGAAGGTCAATGGCGGGGCACTGGTTCCCAAAATGAAGTTTGTTTCTGAATGCTCGAGGTGTCAGGGGCAAGAGAGCAGGCTTAGAGAGGGTGAGGTGGGCCAGGGCCTCTGGGAGGGGAGAACGCTGTCTGCAAATGTAAAGGAGCCCTCCAGCTAGGGGAGCCCTGCCCCCAGGACCATGTGGCCGCTTGGCTGTGTCTAAGTGGCCCTGTGAGTCTGGGTCCCATCTGGAGCCCCATGGGTTGCTGGGCTGGGGCAGGGAGGGACGGCTCACCTGTGGCAGTCATGCCAGATCCAGGCATGGCGCCCGTTCTTGGGTCGGAAGTCGGACTGGCCATTGTTGTGGATCTGGGAGGAGAAGCGCAGGAGCCGCCGGTAGCCCGTGGTGGGGTTGGTCTGGGCGGCCGAGGCCGAGAGGCAGTTCTCCTCCATGGCGCACTGCAGCATGAACATGGGCCGGTCCTCCAGGTAGGTGCTCTGCTGCACAATCTCCGCGTTGAGGACCAGGTCAGGGGCGGCTGGGAGCAGGGCAGAACACAGGGTTCAGACAAGGCCAGAGACCCCACACCCCTTCCCACCTAGGTTTCCTCTGATTCCCGAGCAGTGACCGGCCCGCATCCCTGCTGAGCGTCTGGCACTGGCTCTCGTGGTCTCCCGTGTCCGGGTCGGGGACAACTGCCCCCAACCCCGTCCCCTTCTCTGAGAGCCCTCTGCACACCTCCGCGGACCTCAGTGTCAGCACAGGCTTGGTGTCTCAGTCATGTGCGACTCTGCCATGTCTGCAAAACGCTGCCAGCAGTGCAATCTGGGTAACGGGTCCATGAGGCTTCATCATATCAATATTTTCTATCTCCTTCAGAATAATCTCCAGGAGTAACAGGCAAATTTGGCCTTGGAGTACAGAATGAAGCAGGGCAAAGGCTAATAGAGTCTTGCCAAGGGAATGTACTGGTCATAGCAAACACCCTCTTCCAACAACACAAGAGAAGACTCTACACATGGACATCACCAGATGGTCAACACTGAAATCAGATTGATTATATTCTTTGCAGCCAAAGATGAAGAAGTTCTATACAAGTCAGCAAAAACAAGACCAGGAGCTGACTGTGGCTCAGATCAGGAACTTATTGCCAAATTCAGACTTAAATTGAAGAAAGTAGGGAAAACCACTAGACCATTCAGGTATGACCTAAATCAAATCCCCAACGATTATACAGTGGAAGTGAAAAATAGATTTAAGGGACTAGATTAGATAGACAGAGTGCCTGATGAACTATGGATGGAGGTTCGTGACATTGTAGAGGAGATAGGAACCAAGACCATCCCCTTGGAAAAGAAATGCAAAAAAGAAAACTGGCTGTCTGAGGAGGCCTTACAAATAGCTGTGAAAAGAACAGAAGCCAAAAGCAAAGGAGAAATGGAAAGATATACCCATTTGAATGCAGAGTTCCAAAGAATAGCAAGGAGAGATAAGAAAGCCTTCCTCAGTGATCAATGCAAACAAATAGAGGAAAACAACAGAATGGGAAAGACTAGAGATCTCTTGGAGAAAACTAGAGATACCAAGGGAACATTTCACGCAAAGATGGGCTCAATAAAGGACAGAAATGGTATGGACCTAACAGAAGCAGAAGATATTAAGAAGAGGTGGCAAGAATACACAGAAGAACTGTACAAAAGAGATCTTCATGACCCAGATAATCATGATGCTGTGATCATTCACCTAGAGCCAGACATCCAGGAATGTGAAGTCAAGTGGGTCTTAGGAAGCATCACTACGAACAAAGCTAGTGGAAGTGATAGAATTCCAGTTGAGCTATTTCAAATCCTGAAAGATGATGCTGTGAAAGTGCTGCACTCAATATGTCAGCAAATTTGGAAAACTCAGCAGTGGCCACAGGACTGGAAAAGGTCAGTTTTCATCCCAACCCCTAAGAAAGGCAATCCCAAAGAATGCTCAAACTACCGCACAGTTGTACTCATCTCACACGCTAGTAAAGTAATGCTCAAAATTCTCCAAGCCAGGCTTCAGCAATACGTGAACCATGAACTTCCAGATGTTCAAGCTGGTTTTAGAAAAGGCAGAGGAACCAGAGATCAAATTGCCAACATCCTCTGGATCATCTAAAAAGCAAGAGTTCCAGAAAAACATGTATTTCTGCTTTATTGACTATGCCAAAGCCTTTGACTGTGTGGATCACAACAAACTGTGGAAAATTCTGAAAGAGATGGGAATACCAGACCACCTGACCTGCCTCTTGAGAGATCTATATGCAGGTCAGGAAGCAACAGTTAGAACTAGACATGGAATAGCAGACTGGTTCCAAATCGGGAAAGGAGTCTGTCAAGACTGTATACTGTCACCCTGCTTATTTAACTTATATGCAGAGTGTATCATGAGAAACGCTGGGCTGGATGAAGCACAAGCTGGAATCAAGACTGCCGGGAGAATAACCTCAGATATGCAGATGACACCACCTTTATGGCAGAAAGTGAAGAAGAACTAAAGAACTTCTTGATGAAAGTAAAAGAGGAGAGTGAAAAAGTTGGCTTAAAGCTCAACATTCAGAAAACTAAGGTCATGGCATCCGGTCCCATCACTTCATGGCAAATAGTTGGGGAAACAATGGAAACAGTGACAGACTTTATTTTGGGGGGCTGCAAAATCACTGCAGATGGTGACTGCAGTCATGAAGTTAAAAGACGCTTGCTCCTTGGAAGAAAAGCTATGACCAACCTAGACAGCATATTAAAAAGCAGAGACACTACTTTACCAACAAAGGTCCATCTAGTCAAGGCTATGGTTATTCCAGTGGTCATGTATGGATGTGAGAGTTGGACACTATAAAGAAAGCCGAGTGCCAAAGAATTGGTGCTTTTGAACTGTGGTGTTGGAGAAGACTCTTGAGAGTCCCTTGGACTGCAAGGAGATCCAACCAGTCCATCCTAAAGGAGATCAGTCCTGGGTGTTCATCGGAAGGACTGATGTTGAAGTTGAAACCCCAATACTTAGGCCATGTGATGCGAAGAGCTGACTCATTTGAAAATACCCTGATGCTGGGAAAGATTGAGGGCAGGAGGAGAAGGGGACGACATAAGATGAGATGGTTGGATGGCATGACTGACTCGATGGACATGAATTTGAATAAACTCTGGGAGCTGGTGACAGACAGGCAGGCCTGGCGTCCATGGGGTCACAAAGAGTCAGACACCGAGAGACTGCACTGAACTGAACTGAATCTTCTTTAGAGTGGCTTTATTATGGCTTTCCATAATAAATCTTCTTTAGAGTGGCTTTATTATGCTTTCCATAATAAAAAGCAGACAATAACAATGAATAGGGGCTTCCCTGGTAGCTCACATGGTAAAGCATCTGCCTGCAATGCAGGAGACCAGGTTTCAATCCTTGGGTTATGAAGATCCCCTGGAGAAGGGAGTGGCAACCCATTGCATTATTCTTGCCTACAGAATGCCACGGGCAGAGGAGCCTGGCAGGCTACAGTCCATGAGGTCGCAAAGAGTCGGACACGACAGTGACTAACACTTCCAACTGCTAACAATGAAATCATGCTACCCAGAGAGAGAACACTCTTAATACTTTGGTGTGATTCTTTTGGGAATTACAAATATATTTCCTACCATGTGTAATACTGTATGAAGATTTGTATTACATACAACACTACTTATATTGTATTAGTCTGTTAATGCTGTCTCTCCTAAAACATATCTTTACATATTCACTTGTTAATAAATATCCATTACAATATTTAATTCATAACCCTAACCTATACTTTATTTATTTATTTTTAAACTAATTAATATTACTTCTTAATTTTTGACTGCATGTGTCCTTGTTGCCGTGTGGGGCTTTCTCTAGAGAGGGGGTCTACTCTCTAGGTGCGAGTCTCAGGCTGCTCACTAAAGTGGCTTCTCCAGTTGCAGAGAACGGGCTCTAGGCGAGAGGGCTTAGTGGTCTGGCGGCATGCGGGGTCTTTCTGGAGCAGGGACTGAACCCATGTCCCCTGCACTGGCAGGCAGATTCTTAACCACTGGACCACCAGGAAAGTCCTAACCCTTACTTTTATTTATTTACTTATTTTTTCTAACCCTTACTTTTAGATACATGGGTTGCTTGGAACTTTTCACAGTTAAAGATAAAGTGGTGATAGACATCCTGTAGTATGTAGTACATACTATGTAGTACACACATCTTCTGTGTGTAACTTTAATCGTTTCTTTAGAATATATTTCTATAAATTGCTGGGGGGCAGGTTGCATACTTTCAAGGCTCTGATATATACCCAGTTCTACCAGTTTCCCCTTGCACTGTTGCTCCATGGAGAGTTTTCACCCAGGTACCTCTTTAAAAACTAGCTTGACTTATTCAATTAGCACAATGTACATAGCAGGTGTTAAAAAAAAAAATCACCAGTGGTTACAATCTATGTTTAGTAAACAGTTATATTAGAAGGATTAACTTCTTTACCAAAGGATTAACTGTGTCTCTCTTTAAAAGTGAGATTCTACTGAACATTTCTAGTGTACCTAAATTCACAGGAATGTAGTATATGAATCATTTATGATAAGACCCAGAGAATTCCCTGGTGGTCCAGTGGCCAAGACCTTGCCTTCCGATGCAGGGGATGTGGGTTCGATCCTTGGTTGAGGAACAAAGACCCAAAGACCCCACATGCCTCGAAGCCAAAAACAAAAACAAAAACAAACATAAAACAAAAGCAATATTGTAGCAAAGTTAATAAAGGCTTATAAAAAATGATCCACATCAAAAAAAAAAATCTCAAAACAAGCAAACAAATCTTCAAACCTAAGACCCATCCATCTTTTATTTTCTGATGCTTGCAAATTTCTAAGGTGAGTATCCTCTATGACCTTTGCTTCTCTCATGTTCACCACTGCCTGGAGCAATTCTGCCCAGTCTGGGTCCCCTCCCAGGCTGTCTGTGGAGCCCAGTAGGTTTTCAGGATGCACAACTGCTGATGCTGAGTGTTGAGTGCACAGTTTAATGAGGGTGTTGTGGCCTCTTTTCATGATCTGTACACTAGTCAGTACTCAATGGACAATCCCTTTGCCTCCCTCTCTGCTGGTCAGTAGGGTCTCCATCAGGCTGTCTTCTTTCTGGGAGGAGACTGGCCCTATCTCCACTTCAGGAGTCTCAAGGTAACATGGTCTGACTTAGCTGGTAGCCCATTCTCAACACCTGCCATGTAACGAGATCTTGACCTCCCTAATACCCAAGGCATCCCCCACTCTGTGCGACCCTATGGCCTGTAACCCACCAGGCTTCTCTGTCCATGGGATTTTCCAGGCAAGAATACTGGAGTGGGTTGCCATTTCCTTCTCCAGGGGGTCTTCCCGACCCAGGAATTGAACCTGGGTCTCCTGCATTGCAGGCAGATGATTTACCAACTGAGTTATGAGGGAAGCCCAGGCATACTGTGAAGTATATTAAAGACCACGTTTCTCTCTTTCCTTTGGCTGGTAGGAAGCTCGCTGTACAATGACGATGTATGTGACTCTATGACAGTAAATGTATGTGCTAGGCTAAGTTGCTTTGGTGTGTCCAATTCTGCGTGACCCCACGGACTGCAGCCCGCCAGGCTCCTCTGTCCATGGGATTCTCCCGGCAAGAATACTGGAGTGAATTGTTGTGCCCTCCTCCATGGAATCTTCCCAGTCCAGGGATCAAACACGTCTTTTACATGTCCTGCATTGAAAGGCAGGTATTTTTTTTTATCACTAGCACCACCAGGGAAGCCCAGTAAATGTATAGGTCTCTATAATATATAAATTTTTATTAATCTCTATCAGTTCCAGTTTGAGCCACTCTCATTTTGCCAATACCTACTTTTTAAAAATTATATATATATATATATAATTTTAAATATTTATTTATTTGGCTGTACCAGGTCTTAGTTGCAGCATGTAGAATCTTCAGTTGCAGCATGTAGGATCTAGTTTCCTGACCAGGGATCAAACGCAGGATACTAGCATTGGGAGTATGGAGTCTTAGCCACTGGACCATCAGAGAAGTCTCCCTACTTTTTTTAAAATCTGCTTTTATCTTATGCTACCTTGAATTTTATTTAGGTTTATATGATCTTAGTTTCCTTTTTGATAAATGGTATATTAAAAATATAAATAAATTATTAAGCTGAGAAAAGACTCCTGATGAGGATGAGACCACATCTCTCTGCCTGGGGGTCTGGTAAGGGTGGTACTCTCACTGTTTCCTCTCAGAAAGGATGCAACAATTTATAATGTCTCCCCAGAGAAGCTCACGCTGGGGTTGAGAGTCCTGCTTTACAAGGGTTATGAAATGCTGAATGGGTCTAATAGGGGAGAAGTGACTGAGTTCAAGTTTAATCTCCCTAGTTCTCCATGATGGTAAACAACAGGGCATCACTGTTTCTTAAGTGCTTGCATGTGTCGTTGTCACATGTAATTTCCAGTCTCTAGGAAAAACAACAAAGACTGTGGATCATAGCAGTGAACTAACTTTGCCAAGATCAGCTAGTAAAGGCAGGAAATACCTGGTCTGTAGTCCTTTGGCCAGGCTCAGGGCCTCTCCCACCTCCCTGATCCACAAGGAAATCCTTTGATAAGGCAAGGAGGGTGGGATCCAGAGAATAACACACCCACAAGGCTGTCAGCCAGTCCTTTCAGCTTGGAAAGGAAGCTACTGAGATGGCCATTCTGAATTCTGGCCAGGGTGGGGATGGAGGTGGGGGTGGGGGTTCCCTTCTATATTGTCAAGCTCTCTAGGATTCCCAGGGAGTCACTAGGAGGTTAAATCACCCTGTGTGTGTGTGACAACAAAAAATGATCTATGTCCTTTTTTTTTTTGACCATGCCACACAGCATGTGGGATCTTAGTTTCCTGACCAGGGATTGAACCTATATCCCCTGCATTGGAAGCGCAGAGTCTTAACCATTGGATCCCCAGGGAAGTCCCAGGAAATGATCTATGGGGCAGGGCAGAAGGAAGGAAGCTGACCCACCAAGCAGTGTGTGTTTCACTGCTAACCCAGAAGTCAGCTCCCAGGAGACCAAGTTCTTAGTCACTTAATTCTCCTAAGGCCACTTAAATAATCTACAGTGACCCTGCCTTTGAACCCAAGGCTCCCAGACTCCCAACTCCTCCTTCTAGCCTTCTCCACTATCATCAGGCAAGATTCCAGGGTTGCCTATGAGGGTGGTTCCTCTTGCCCCTCACTCTTCTCACTTAACAAGAATCCATCCCTGCTTTCCATTTTGCTCAGCTCATAGCAGAGACCCCAGGCAGAGCCTTGCAGGGGATAACCAGTGAGACTCTGTGCCCCTCCTGGAGCCTGGCAGGACAGTGACTTTTGATAAATGTTATATTAAAAACATAAATAAATTATTAAGCTGAGAAAAGGAGCTCTCACTTTCTGAGCAGGCGACTCCAGCCCCGTACCGCACCCCTCCCTCGGGGCAGGCCACGTCCTCCCCGTCGTGCTGGCAGTGCGCCAGGGACAGCTCCGTTCCCGAGCACTTCACACCGCTCATGACCACCTTGTTGGCGTTGATATTTCCATGCCAGTACCAGGTCTCCTGCGTGAACCAACAACAACAACAAATAGCCAGCACATCACCTTGAATTGTCACTTTCCCACATTCTGTCAAATTTCAGCCTCACCAAAACCCCCAAGGCTTTATGATCCCATTTTTCAGATGGAGACAGCCAAGACACAGTCACCCAAGTCATGCAGTTTGTTGGTGGCAGCGCAGATGGGGCCCACCCCCCGCACTTGGATTCTGCCCCTCTCCCCTTTTGGAAAGCACAGCTGAGAGTGTGCTCAATGCTGTGTATCAGAACAGCAGCAGTACTGCCTGCCCCCTCCTCCCGAGCCCTGGGCAGACATTACTAATCTATCTCAGCACTCTCCTCTAAGCCTGACTGTGCTGTCAGAATCCTTCTCAACACTGTGCTCCAGGGAGACACCACCAACTGATCAGGATTGGCAGGAGAGAAGAAATCTAGTCACATTTGTCAACAGTTCCATCTTCATACATCTCATTGGTTCTGTTTTTCTAGAGAAACTACACACCCCTCATCCTCTAGAGAGAAAACTGGGGCCTTGGGAAGGGATAAGGCTTGCAATCAGGACACTGAGGTCAAGGGTAGGCCCATCTCACAGCCTCCGCTGTGAGAATCAGGTGTCTTAGGAAAGAGCTGAAAGGGAACAAAAATAGCTGGATGGCCACTCTGTTGCAATGAGCGCTGTTCTCCTACACTCCATGGAGAACCAGCGAGTGCCTTGGCTGGTCATAAGCAGGATCAGCAGAAACATGACGTGGCTGTGCAAAGTCAGGCTTCCAGAGGGCCCTGGGTACCAGAGGCCTGCCCCTTCCTTCTGGATGGTCTGGGGAGTTGCCACAAGCCTGCCTGGCTGAGTTCTCCCATGTTCGCTACTAAGAAACCCCTTCCTCAAGCAGCCACCCAGGGCACCGGGGCTGAAGTCGGGGTTAGCAAAGTGAGATGGGGGTGCTCTGGACATTTTCCTGTTCTGGGAGAACCTTAAGAAAGGTGTTTATAGAGCCTGGATATTGAGGACCTGGGACTATTTATTCCATGTTCACAGAGGCTGGAAAAGGTGGCAGGTCATTATGTAGCCAGCTGGTGGGGGTCCAACTGGGAAGTGACCTCTGGCCTCCTGGCTCCCAGTCCTCTTGCCCCTGGCCTCTTTCCAACAATGTTCCATCCGATGATGGGGTCCAGAGGGCAATGATTTTTTAATCCAAAGCACCACTTGTCTTTCTTCTGTTCCTTTCGGATGGAGTGGGAGCCTAGCTGCCCTTGGCTGAGTCCCTCCTGAGCTGGCGGCAGGAGGAGGGTGCAGCGGCTCTGAAAGGGTCCTGAAACAAGGCTTGGGGACCTGCCAGCCAACCAAGGAGAGGATGCATGGATGTGGACAGAGCGAGGAAGCATGCTGTGGGAAGAGGGGCCGGCAAGGGAGCGAGGTAAGACAGGGGTCCCCAGCCCCCTGGTACTGGTCCAAGACCTCTTAGGAACTGGGCCACTCAGCAGGAGGTGAGTGATGGGTGAGTAAGCGAAGCTTCATCTGCCTCTCCCCATTGCTCTCCATCGCTCACATTACTGCCTGAAGCATCCACCCCGCCCCGTCCCTGTCTGTGGAAAAGCTGTCTTCCACAAAACCATTCTCTGATGCCAGAAAGGCTGAGGACCACCAAGCTAAGGCGTCTGGGGTGTTGGGTTGGGTGGTCTCCACATGCGCCCCCATAGGACTGAGTGGCTTCCCCCTGCAAAAGGCAGGTCGGGACACCCCAGAATGAGCCCCTGACATGGCCAAGCCCAATGCACAGAGCTGAGACCCGAAACCAGAGTGCAGAGAGCGCGTGACCCACGCAAGGACTTGGGGCTGCAGGGGGCAGAGCAATGGAGGACAGGATGAGGTTTTTCCTCCAAGTCCATGGCTCTCTACCTCCTCTTGAGGTAGGTAGAGTCACAGAAGGTGGGGGCTGACGAGAGATGGGTAGGATTGGACTGGATGCAGGGTTCAAGGCCCTGCCCGGCAGGGTGGGGGTGGGGCCGGGGGCTTCTCACCTGGAAGGCATTGCTGGCAAACCCCAGGCCTAGCTGCCGGCAGACGACCATGGCCTCCACAATGCCCCAGTTCTCGCCGCACACCATGCCCCACACGAGGGACCCGTTCCTCTCCACCAGCACCTCCACTCGGCCCTCGTAGGGGTTTCGGCCCCCGTTCAAGCGCAGCTGTGGAGGGAAAGGAAGGCATGGTTACTGGGAGGGGAAGGCAGGTTGATGCCCCACAATGGTACTGCCTTCAGTCTCAATCTCCCCAAGGCAGGGGGTCCTCCTGCGACACAGAACCCTGGCATCACTGAGCACCTACTGTGTGCCAGGCATCGTGCCCAGCAGGGTCTTCTGCGTCAGGTGCCCCTCCCCTGCCCTCCCGCAGCCATCCTAGGACCCTAGAGGCCAGTGCAGCTGGGGAGACCCACTGACCCACTATAGACCCACTGACCTCACAGTAGAATCTGCTTCTGCTGCCCATGGGCCCACCAGGGGGGTGGGTCTCAGATCAGATACTTGGAAAGGTGCAATAAGGAGCCTTAAAATGGTAGAATGCCCCAACTCTTTCTGGGACCATTTCCTCCTCCCCACACCCTCTCCTGTACCTGGGTTCCAGCTCCTGATTGCATCTCTTCCCACAACACCCCCTGCTGTCCTTTCTAGAAGAACTCTTACTTGACAGTCCCGCCTGGCACCTCGGAGACCCCAAATCTAACTGGTCCTCTTTTTCTCTCTACCCCTAAGCCTGTGCTCGACCTCCCCCTCATTCTCTATTTCAATGAAAGGCACTGCCACCTCCCCGGGGGCAGCAAACCATGTAGGGTGAATGCAGGGACCACAATGTGTACACAGCTGTGTGCCCAAGAAGCCATATTTACAAATACAGGCAGAGGGATGGATTTGTACTGCAAGCAACAGTTTGCTGATCCTGAATCTATTCTGTTACACAAGCCAGAAATCTAGGAGCAAGCGTCAACATCGCCCTCTTTCTTATCCCTTATATCAGGGGCTCCCAACCAACCCCCTCCACCCCTGCCTGTTAGGAACTGGACTGCACAGCAGGAGATGAGCAGCGGGACAGCAGCGAAGCTTCACATCTATATTTGTTCCCCATTGCTCTCCCATCACCCCCAGATGGACCGTCTGGTTGCAGGAAAACAAGTTTAGGGCTCCCACTGATTCTGCATTATGGTGAGGTGTATAATTACTTCATTATATATCACAAGGTAATAATAATGAAATAAAGTGCACAATAGAGGTAATGCACTTGAATCATCCAGAAACCATCCCTCCCCCACCAACCCATCCTGGTTGATGGAAAAACTGTCTTCCATGAAACTGGTCCCTGGTGTCAAAAAGGTTGGGAACTGATGCCCTACATCCCATCAGAATCTCCCTCCATGGATTTTATCTCCCAAGTCCCTCCCACTCACACTCGTCCCTCCAGCTCCATCTTACCCCTCTTCCCAGGCACCATCGCCTCTCGCCTGAAATAGCCCTCCTCACCCCCCTCCCCCTGCCTCTCCTCTTGCCTTCACTGACCTGTTCTCCCTGCAGAAGCCAGAGTCACTTCTGAAAAACACCCGATCACGTTCCTCTCCTAGAACACATCCGTGGTTTGCTTCACTACTTCCCTCCTCACCCTCATCACATGTCTCTCTGCTCCCTGTTCTCCTACCTCCAGGCACACGGCCTCCTTTCAGTTTCCATGGCGACCTAACTCTCCTGACCAAGTTACACAGAAACTCTCATTTCACACTGAAGTCTGTTACATACAGAGGCCCCTTTGCTTTTGGCTGGTCCCACTCATCTTCCCAATTCTACAGCCAATGTGGCACTTCTCTCCAGTGGGGGTCAGTGCCCACTTACAGTCTCTCTCGACATCTTCTTAGCATTCTTGACAATTATAATTAAGCTAATTTATAATTTTACAAATTAACAGCTGCCTCTCTGATGATATATAAGAGCCAAAGAGCAGAGCTGTGTTGGTGGGTTCACTAGGGGATCAATAACCAAGATGGCACCTCTCAGATGTTAAGTACGCACCACAGCTCCTTTTGGAATGGATGAATACAACACCAGGCTTACAGAACGAAAGCATATGGACCAACACAAGAGCCCAAGCCCATAAAGGGAAGCAGGATAAGGTATTTGGATTAAGGACTGGAATTTGGGGGAGGGACTCTGAAAATGCAGTCCTTAATCCAAATACCTTATCCTGCTTCCCTTTATGGTTCTAACAATTCATCCCTTTGAGATAAGACTTAATACTCCAGGAATCTTCAGCTGTTTGTTTGCCAGTCCTTAGCAACAGCACAACCCTTAAGTCATAGGTCTTAATTCTTATGGACTTGGGGGCTGGGAGGGTCATGGAGGTCAGCCGGCAAACAGACAAGCCGAGGGCAGTCCTGACCTTAGATCTATCTACCAGGGCTGAGCCGATGCATAAATGGCATATATGGTTCCTGTAAAATGCTCAAACAGGACCTGGCACTCAGGGAGTGCGGACAAACCTCAGACATCATCACAGCAATGATCGTCATTAGGGTGGGAGTCCCAGCAGAAAGCAACCTTTCTTTAGAGGACCTAGAAGAGGTCAGAGCAGGTAGGAAGAGGGCTCGCCCTCAGAAGACTGACATTTGTCTTCCTGAGTGCCTCTGGGCTGGAGGAAATCCCAGTCCAGTCGCTGGACATTGGCTATGGATTGCACATCACCTGTGACTAACATATCTTTGCTGTTGTTGTTTAGTCACTCTTGTGACCCCATGGACTGTAGCCCACCAGGCTCCTTTGTCCATGGGATTTCCCAGGCAAGAAAACCAGAGTGGGTTGCCATTTCCTTCTCCAAGAGATCTTCCCAACCCAGGGATTAAACCTGCATCTTCTGCATTGGCAGGCAGATTCTTTATTGCTGAACTACCAGGGAAGCTGGATCTATGTAAAAACAAATAAACAGGCAGAGCCATGCAGAAAGTCCTAGAAAGGCCTGAGCCTCAATGGGAGGCAAGCCAGCCAGCTCCAACATCCACAGGAAGGCCAGCAGCCCTTGGGGAGGTGTACCTTCAACCCACTGGGATGTTTCCAAGTATCTTCAAGCCATCCCCTCTGCTCATTTGCGATATATTGAATACCTGTATTTCATCCTTTATGTGCTTACTGAACTCTGCCAGCAATGTTGGCATCTCCTCAGAAATGAATTGTGTGTAATTCACCAGATCCATTTATTCATCCAGTATTTATTTGGCTTTTATGATGTGACAGGAGCAGGCTTCCCAGGTGGCTCAGTGGTAAAGTATCCGCCTGCAATGCAGGAGACTAAGGAGATGTGGGTTTGATTCCTGGGTTGGGAAGATCCCTTGGGGGAAAGAATGGCAACCCACTCCAGTATTCTTGCCTGGAGAATCCCATTGACAGAGGAGCCTGGCAGGTTACAGCTATGAGGTTGCAAAGAGTCAGACAGGACTGAACTGATTTAGCAGGCACGCACGAGACAGGAGGAGTGCTGGGAAACTCACAGGCAAACTCTCAGAGTGCTTACCATGTCCCCCGCCCTATGTAAGCCCTTTATGGACATTCGGTCCTCACAGCATCCCTAGGAGGCAGTGGTACCCTGTTATCCCCATTTCACAAATGAGGGGAGTCTCAGATGGAGTAAGCATCTCTTCACTACCATACTAGACCACCTCCAAACTATCCACCTAAGCCCGCTTCTTCAAGGGTGCTTTTGTCTCAAAGTAGGAATCACTGAGCCAGAACAGAGGACCAAATTGGTGCCTTACAGTCAGGATAGAGAACTCCTCCTGCTGGGAGGTTGGGGTCCTGAAGCTTGGGCCCCATGTTCTGAGGCCTTTATAGTAGATCCCCTATATAGGAAGTAAATCCCCTTCAAGTTGCAGATTTTCAAGGATGCGAATGTGCCCGTACATGCCAGCTGCCGTACTGTACTACTGTATTTTCAAGGTACTGTACAAGAGTAAAAATGTTTTCTTTTTTGTTTGTTTTTTATGTATTATTTGTGTGAAAAGTATCATAAACCAATTATACTACAGTACTAATAAATAGCCAATTGCGCTAGCCTGGGTACCCAGGCTAACTTTGTTGGACTTACAAACAAATTGAACTTACAAACCCACTCTGGGAACAGAACTGGTTTGTATGTATTGTCCATTGGAGTCAGGCTGGGTCCTGAGGCTTAGGATACTAAAGCTTTAATCACCAAAGTGTTAATCACTCAATTGTGTCTGACTGTTTGTGACCCCATGAACTATAGCCTGCCAGGCTCCTCTGTCCATGGAATTCTCCAGGCAAGAATACTGGAGTGGGTTGCCATTCCCTTCTCCATGAATCACTAAAGCACTTAATTTTGTGCCTTGTGGAAACCATCTCGGGTTGCTTCCAAGCATCTATAGCCTTGGCAAGGAGTGGTGTGCCAGCCCCTCACACACACACCCCCTCCCCACCTGCCTGGTCTCCTGTGTCTCTGGCCTCCTGGACTGATTTGGCCTGGAGGGCACTGTGTCTAGGACAGACGACAGTAGGGACTGTGATGGTGACCACAGGACCGAGCTCTAGGCCACAGGCTGAGCCTCTAATGGGCTCAGGATGAGCTTGCATCCTGATTTAGGGAGTCTGGAGCCTTCCCTCTCTTTGGGAAGTCCAGATCCTCTCCCCTTCCCCTCTGCGTGGTTTCTGAGTCCCAGCACCAAGGCTGGTGGAGCTGCAGGCCTGCATAGAGGTGCACCCTGGGGCACTGGAAGCCATAGGCAGGGGCCCCTGCTGGGGGCTAGGTTAGCACTGAAGTTCAGAATGTCCCTGATAGCTTAGGTGGTAAAGAATCCACCTGCAATGCAGGAGACCTGGGCTTGATCCCTGGGTTGGGAAGATCCCCTGGAGAAGGGAAAGGCTACCCACTCTAGTACTCTGGCCTGGAGAATTCCATGGACAGTCTGTGGGGTCACAAAGAATCGGACACAACTGAGCAACTTTCACTTCACTCAGAATGCCAGTGGGTGGTGCTGATGGATAATTGGGTTTATTATTATTTTTTATTTCGCTAGGGACTGTGCCCTGCCTTATTGATTGCACTGGGGTCAGCTAGCTCCCTCTGCTGCCCCTCTCCTAGCACCTCCCCCGCAAAAAACAGACTTCATTTTGTTTCCCTAAAGTCTGCAAAAATTCGGATTGGGGAGCCTAAAGAATTCTGAGTCCAAATTTTTTCCTGCTACCAGCGGGCAGCGGGCTCCCAAGTTTGAGTCTCAAAATGAAGACTTGAGTCTTATATGAGACTCACTTATACTGAGTCTCAATATGAAGGCTCCTGTCTCTAGGGCTCTCTTTGGGAGGGCCCCTGTCCTTTGTCCCCCACTGTCTGTGCAGCCCAGGTTGCTTGGCCAGGTGTTCCTGTCCTAGGTTCTAGAGCCAACGGGAGTCTGAGAGGCTCTGGCTGAAGAACGTGTCTGTACACTGACTCTGAGGCAAGGAAAACATAAGGCCTTCAGTGGGAGCTGGGGCGTCTCCTTGAGACACTTCCTAAAGCTCCAAGCTGTGGCCATGCTGCCAAGGCTGAGCAGGCCTGAAGCAACCTCTGTAACAGGGGCAGAGTTTCATAGCCCCTGGAAGAATCCAGGCACCTCAAGATGTTTTGGGGGCCTTTTCTCGTTTCCTAAAGGAGACTGGGGGTTGCAAGAGAGGCTGGCCATGAAGTTCAAACTCAGCCCAATACATAGCTCTCCATTCCCAGGGCTCCACTCCTGGGCACCCCATTCCAGAAGTGGCCTGGCTCGAAGTTCCAGTATCCATGGAACCCCAAGAGATCTCAGGGTCAGCCAGGAGCCTCTGGCCCACACCCTCTCCACCTCATTACCCCTCAAGGATGCCAGGGGAGGTCCATCCTTCTCCAGATTTCTTAAAACAATCCCAGGCATTTCTTTTTTCCTGTTCCTGTGTTTCTTGGTGGCAGCAGTATGCGGTTTGAAAGAAGGGAGTGACGTGCAGGAAGCATGAATAGAGAAAACAAAACACCTACCTCCAGCCAGGGGGGCATGGCGAAGCGGCCCTGTGTTTTGATAAGGTTGCGGTTCACCAGTCCCTCACCTGTTTTTGGAGGTGGCAGGTAGGAAGCGAGGTAACAGGACCCAGGTGTTAACAGGCAAGCAAGATTGGGCACTCTCCAACTCACATTCCACACGTGGGCGTGGTCCTGCCACCCAGACGGGCCAGGCCCACAGTTCAGAAGAGAATCAGAGGTCAGTAAGGCCGCCAGGGGACCCAGTGTGGACTAGCTCACCTGGGAAACCCACCTGCCACCCCCCGAGCCTCTCCACCTTGGCATGTCTCCCCAGCAATGAAAGAAACACAGCTTGGCTGTGACTGGCTGGATGACACCTCCCAGTTTCATGTCTGTGAGTTTTATTTATTAGTCATTCAATAAAAAGCCAATTTCTTAAAGAACTGGGGGTTGGAAGGCAAGCTAGGAGTCTCCTCGCTCACCTCCTTATTTTCCAAGGAGGAAACGGAAATCTGGGAGACTAGTTAAGGAATCAGCCAGTGAATGACAGGAATGAACTGACTTCCCAGTCTTTGCGACCCCATGGACTGTAGCCCGCCAGGCTCCTCTGTCCCTGGGATTCTCCAGGCAAGAATACTGGAGTGGGTTGCCATTTCTTCCTCCAGGGAATCTTCTTACACAGGGATCGAATCTATGTCTCCTGCATTGGCAGGCAGATTCTTTACCACTGTGGATCTTTTACTACCGGGGAAGGAAGCCCTCTCAGGGGATAGAAATGGCCAGATTCAGGCATAAAGCTTTCCCACACCCCACGCTTGAGCACAGGGCTCACCTTCTAGAGCCTGAAGGGCCCCTGAAAGGATGAGGGTGTTTTGTGCTAGGAGTGTGGTGCCCCCACCGGCATGACTGGGCACACAGCTTGGCTCAGCTCCACCCACCATAAAGCCTTGTGGAAAATCTCATTTTCTTTGGCCTAGGGCTTTCATTTGGGTTGAAAGCCCCATTCCACCCAAGTCCAATCTGTCTGAAGTGAATGGTACCCCAGTGCACGGGACTCTTGGCACGCCAGCTTTTAGAGCTCTATTATGGCTTTTTTGGAATGCTGCTCAGCAACTAGAGATGGCAAGCCTTTCCCACAGCTGTGGGGCTGTGGCCCACACCCCTGCTCACTTACAAGCAAATGTTTGGCTCAGTGGAGAGCTGTTGAGTTCATGTTTTTAGCCCCATGGGGCAGTAAGCTGCTGTGGCTGACCAGTTCAGTAGTGCCTTTGACGTGATGATGCCAAGGTTAAGAAGCGGTGTCAGAGCCTGGCTAGAGAGTCATCCTGTACCCCAACATGTCTGCATTTGCTTATTTTAAAAAATAAGCCCTCAAGAAGCTCTTCCAATTGTGCCAGCCTGGTGACCAAATTCATGGTTTAGCACAGAGCATTAGATAGGATGTACTGGGGCTTTTTGGAGGATGGGCTAAATCTCCTACCAAAATCCTGTTGGTTATCCCTGTGGGAAAAGTCACCCATAAGGGGGTACATGATGCAGGTTTTTAGAGACCCTGTCTCAGGAAGGGAGGGGTGTGTATCAGATATAACGCTGTTAAGGTTTCCTTTTCTTTCCCTCTGGAAACCAAAGTACGGTCTTCAGTCCCCAAGTACTGTCTACATCGTGCTTACATCTGTGTGCTTTACAGACTGGCTGTGGTTCCTCTGGGTCCTTGGAAAGGGCCGTTGCCAAGGGGACCACAGGTGCTGCAGTCCTTGAATCCTTTGAAGGAAGCACTGCGTTGCAATCACACTGTTTGTCCGGCCACAGAGTACGGCGGGGCACACAGAGGATCCCCAACATCTGAGGACAGTGGAGCTTATCCATGTGTCTTTTCGTTGGGCAGCTCCACCAGAGCCAGGCAACAGCCACCAAAGGTGACAGCAGTGTAGCTCAACAGCTTTCTGAGCTCATCATCAGAGTACCTGTTGGCAAGCTTCAGCCTGAGACCATCTGGTCTACCCTTTCTGCAGATTCAATGACCAAAACATAACAGTCCCCTGTGGGCGTCCAGGCTCCTCACCTTTTTCTGGAAGCCCATGGCGGGGATGTTACATCTCACAGCAGCATCTTCCTCATGATTGCAGCCCTGAGACTCAGCATTGAACTTGCAGTCTATAATGGACTTCTCATTCCCCGTGCACTCAATTTCATTGAGGTGGATGGGTCCTATCCCTAGGAATGGAAAATGAACATGCAGTATGAAACCTTCCACAAAAGTTTCTACAATGGGAAAAGAAGTCCCAGGCAGTAAGAACATGCCTCTCCCATCCTCAGAATGCTCCCAACTGCCTCCCACAATAGCTCAATGACCCAGGCCTCTCCTACCTGGAGAAAATGTTGTCTTGGGAGTCACTTCTCCCATAAGAACAAAGGTTGTCACTAATTTATGTGACCTTGACCAACTCACTCAGCCTCTCTGAATGTTGGTTTTCTCACTGAAATAGAGAAGCTGGTCTAGAGGGCATCTAAGTTCCCTTCTCAACTTGTATACTCTGTGTATTGATGAATCCTAAAGGGGCAACTCTCACAGGGTAGTCGGACTCCCTGCAGGAAAGAGATGGCATTCTCAGAGTGGATGATCTGAGTTACAGACAGGAATTTTAAAAATAAAGATATGAACAAAGCATGAAGAAATCACAAAATTGCAATGGATAGTCCATTGTGTGGGCTAATACCACCCCCAGGCCTGCAGGAAAGAAAAGTGTCAGTCACTCAGTCATGTCTGACTCTTTGTGACCCTGTGGACTGTAGCCCACCAGGTTCCTCTGTCCATGGAATACTCCAGGCAAGAATACTGGAGTGTGTGGCTGCTCCCTTCTCCAGGGATCTTCCCAAATCAGGGATCGAACCCAGGTCTCCCACATTGCAGGCAGATTCTTAACCATCTGAGCCACCAAGGATGAGGGGAGGATGTTACTATCTGGTCCAGGAGAACAAAAGAGCCTTGTGGGGAGGTCACCTGTTAAGAGCCGTTACCCTCAGTGAAGGGACACAGTGACCCGCAGGGAGAATAAAGACCCAGCTCCTCCCCAACTCCAATCTCCCCCAGTGTTCCCTGCTGGCCACATCCAAACCTGCCTCCCAGGGCCCTGAACCACGTGGACAAGGAGGAGCGTGGAGCTGCAGGGGCAGACAGAAGACATCCCACAGGGACCCCTAATGCGCATGTGGGAAGCTTTCCGTGCAGGCACTGGGATGGCAAGGGGGCATTCCCCACTGCTGGGGAGAGGGAATTCCCAGTTTGTCAGCATTCAACTCAACTCACCTCACAAAACCACGTCTCCTCTGTCTAGTCCATCAAGCTGGACCCAGGTCTAGCTCTTTCTGGGAGCTCTGCGCTGCTCTGACCCCACCTTGGAACCTGCCTTGCTCCGTGATCTCCTCTCTCTCTTGATCTTCACCATCATCCTCTGGTTTGGGTCCATCCCTCAGCACTCATCTGATCCCATAAAACCTCCCATCTTTATGACGACCCTCCCCTGACCCCACACTTCCTTCTGGCCTGTCACTTTCCTCCCCTTCAGGAAGAACTTGAAAGAGTCATTTGCTTTTGTTATTTCTGCTTTCAGCAGGAGGACCTTTCCTAATCTGCTTCTCCACAGCATCTCCCTAACTCAGGAAGCAGCACCTCCATCCTCCTGGTTCTTGCCAGAACCCAGAGGCATCACCTCCTCCTCTTTTATCCACAGACAAGCAATCCATCATTATGTCCTATTCACTCCCCTCAAATCTCAGTGCTTTTCATTTCTGCCACCACCACACTCATCTAACTCTGTCACCTTCCATTTGGACAAATGACATAGCTTCGAGTCTCCCTCCTGCTCGCTTATTCCAAAATATTCCCTACACACAACCCAAGAGATTTTTTAATGCATGTTTAATTATGTCACTCCCCTGTCTTAATCCCTGTAATAGTATCTCACTGCAGTTCAGGGCACAGTTAGTTCCCAAATGGTCCAAACAGGGACCGGCCTCCACAAGGCGTCCCAGCTATGCTTGCTCCTCCCCAGCTTGACCACATGTCTCTCCTTTGGCTACTCCCCCTGTCTGGACCCGCTTCCTCCTTCTCCTCAGCAGTCAGCTCCTGCTCAACCTTCAGGGCTCAGGGCTGATGTCACTTCAATGGCACAACCTTTCTAAGCCTCATCTAAGCTGGGTCCCCCCAGGTCACCTCCACTGAGCACTCCACTTCACGCTGTATTCTGCTGGCTCTCTGTTCAATGTCTGCCTGATCCCCCACTGGGCTGGAGGTCCCACAAGGGCAGGCATTACATCTATGTTGCTTGGGGATTACCAACCAGAGACTAGCAAATAGGACGTGCTGCCAACAGTGTCTGAATGAACACCCCTGACTTCAGTAAGTGTCCGTTGATTGTCAGCCTCTGTTGGGGACTCACAGAGGAATACAACAGTCCCTGTCATGACAAGCTCACAGTTCATGCCTGGGGGATGTAGACACTTAAGACAGACTTGTAACATAATGTGGTACGTGATAAAGATGGAGGTGACTTTCTACACTTTGGAGCCCCAAGGAGGGACCCTTGGCTCTGGGTTTCTGGAGACACCTAGGATCTAGACTCTGAGGCCAAAAATTAACTTCTAGGAGCAACCCACTGTAATGGGTAAGAGCCAAGTTTCCATTTCCTTGGAAATTCATAAATGAAGAAGCTTCTAATTCCTTGGAATTTTATAAAATTTATAAAAAGACATCAGTCAGGACTTGCCTGATGTTCCAGTGGTTGAGAGTCTGTGCTTCCACTGCAGGAGGCATGGGTTCGATCTCTCATTGGGAAATGGCACATAGTGCAGCTCCCCCGACAAAAAAACCCCAATGAATACATCAGTCACTAGGGCTAGAAACACCCAAGGACTCAGAGCAGAAACACTGTGCAAAATACAGATTCCAAACAGAGACTCTGAAGCAAGCAGGGCCATGGCTCATGAATTAAGATGGGCTCAGAAACAGGAGGCAACCTAGGACTTGGATGTGCAGTTAGAGCAGAAGCTTGTTAGATGATTATGAGGATGATGGTGATGGTGGTGGTGATAATGGTGGTGATGGTGATGAAATGGAGGCGATAGTGGTGATGACGATGGTGCTGGTGGTGATAGTGATGATGGTAGTGGTGATAGTGATGATGGTAGTGGTGATAGTGATGATGGTGGTGGTGGTGATGATGGTGATGAGGATGGTGGTGATAATGGTGATGATGACAATGACGGTGGTGGTGATGATGATGGTGGTGGTTGTGGTGATGATAATGATGATGGTGGTGGTGATAATGATGGTGGTAGTGATGAGGATGGTGGTGGTAGTGGTGATGGTGGTGATGATGGTGATGAGGATGGTGGTGATAATGGTGGTGATGACAATGATGGTGGTGATGACGATGATGGTGGTGGTGATGAGGATGGTGGTGGTAGTGGTGATGGTGATGGTGGTGATGACAATGATGGTGGTGGTGATGAGGATGGTGGTGGTAGTGGTGATGGTGATGGTGGTGGTGATGATGATGAGGATGGTGGTGATGACAATGATGGTGGTGGTGATGAGGATGGTGGTGGTGATGAGGATGGTGGTGGTAGTGGTGATGGTGATGCTGGTGGTAGATGGTACTGCTATTTACTGAGCACTCACTATGTTTTGGATTCTGTCATAAATACATTGTTTATATTAACTCATTTCATCACCCCAACAACTCAAGAGAGTGGACCCCACTTGGGACCAAGGATAAAGTAATGGCCCAACAGAGGAACCAGGACTCACACCAGGCAGTCTGACTCACAGCACGATTTTGCTGAGCTTCTGAAGTTCTTTCAGGAGAGTCAGGGGAAGAAGTCCTTTGCTGGAAAGAGCAGCAGATTGCTCTGGGAGAGAGCTGAGCAGCTGAAGTGCCTATGTTTTCCATCGTCTAGGGGTGCTTCCTCTGCCTCCTCCCTCCTGGAACACCTCCCCCTTTCTGCCCATCTAAGTAGAGGTCTGCCTTCAGGGAGCACTGTGAGCCCGTTCTCCTTTGTGGCTCAGCCTGAACAGCCTCACTCTCATCTGCAGCATTTACTTTTTACATCTTTCTCTCTCGCTTACAAGGCAGTGAGCTGCAGCTTCAGCCTTAGAGTAGATTCAGACTGCGTCTCCGTGGGAAGTGACAGGACCTTTCTGAACTCCATTTTCCCCATCTGTAAAACGCAATAACAATGTCTCTCTTGTAGGACTGGGCTTTTGAAGACTGAATGAGACCAGTTGTGTCAAGTTACCAGGGACTCAATAAATGATAAGAATTACTGGGTTGGTCAAAAAGTTCATTCAAGGTTTTCCTAATATTATCAGGATAATTTCTTATATATCATCACTTATTTGTTAGTGTAAAATGCCTTTGGTGCTACTTCTTATTTCATCCACTTGAGGTAACTTCCTGGAGAGCAGAAACCATTACTAGAAATGTCTGCAGAAGAAATAAATTCTCTGTTCCAAGCTCCAGCCCAAACAGTACTCAACAAATGTGTATGGACTGCTAAATTCTGAGACTGGACAGGACAGCAGAGATTAACACAAAAGCCTTAACACTTCAGACTCCAACTAACAACTGCTTGGGGCTTCCCAAGTGGCTCAGTGGTAAAGAATCCGCCTGCAATGCAGGAGACCGGGGTTTGATCCCTGGATCAGGAAGATCCCCTGGAGAAGGAAATGAAACCCACTCTAGTATTCTTGCCTGGGAAATCCCATGGACAGAGGAGCCTGGTGGGCTGCAGTCCATGGGGTCACAAAGAGTCGGACATGGCTTAGAGATTAAACAACTGCTTAGTCTCCTACTGGCCTAACTGATGTAAACTGATGTGGCTATCTCTAAACATCTGGGCCAGGCCTGGGAGGGCAGTACTCACTTTCCTGAAGCCTGCACATTCATGGCACACCAGGGCAGAGTGCAAAGATGGAAGAGCCAGGATTTCTTACATTCTTCCCTATACCACCCAGTTTTGCTGTGAGTCGAGCAGGGTGTGAGGTGTTACTGAAGAATAAGCAGCCTGGATGTCCAGCCGAGCTCGCCCAGCAGTGTCTGTGAGCTCCTAGCTCCTTTTGTTGATCTGGGTTTGACCCGCTGCATCATGAACCCCAGCTTTCCCCTTATCCTGGGTTCTGGACTGTCCATCCACTCACTATACCTCCCCCAGCTTCACCTTGGCCTTGCTTTTCCCCAACCTGAACCCTGTGACCACAGCCCCGGGGCAGGAGAAGGATGTAAGACAGAAGCCATGGCCAACCTCTTTAGAACAATGTTACGGACTTTGGACCCACCATCAGCTGCAGGTTGCCATTAGTTCTTGAAGATCGCAGTAGAACAGACTCGGACAGTGCAATCTGTTCTGCGTGTTAGCACTGTTTCTGGAGGCTTTTGTTCAGGCTTTACGTGCACAGCATATGCTCTCGGTATTTCTTATCAGAGATTTCAGGCCAAAGGGTTTGAAAGGGACTGATCTCAAGGGGCTCCATCCAGCACAGTGGCTGCTGCCTCACGGAGCCCCTGGAATGTGGCCAGTCCAGACTGAGATGGGCTGCAAGCGCAAAACGCATCCTGCATTTTAGAGAGTCAGTACCCCACCTGCGAACTTTCTCATTAAGAGCATTTATATTGATCAAATGTTGAAATCAAAATATTTTGGAAATATTATATATATTATTAAAGAAAATAGATTACTTAAAAGAATTTCACCTGTTCCTTTTTATTTGTTCTTTACATGACTACTAGAAAATAACATTACATATGTGGCTTCAAATAGTTGGACATGACCAAGCGACTAACACTTTCCATTTTATGTCTATGGGATAGCATGGGTCTGGAGTGTTAGAATTTTCTTTTGGCTGCACTGCTTGGCATGCAGGATCTTAGGTCTCCAGCTAGGGATCGAACCTGGGCCCCCCTGCAGTGGAAGCACAAAGTCTTAACCACTGGGTCACTAGGGATGTCTGGGAGAGTTGGAAATTCTTGACCAAGTGGTTGTTCAACTGATCCTGCTTGTGCAACTGGAACTCATTCATTTATTCTTGATAAAATGAATATCCCCAGAGCACTATAGGGCTTCCCAGGCTGCACTAGTGGTAAAGAACCTGCCTGCCAATGTGGGAGACAGAAGAGACATTGGTTTAACTCCTGGGTGGGGAAGACCCCCTGGAGGAGGGCATGGCAACCCACTCTAGTATTTTTGCCTGGAGAATCCCATGGACAGAGGAGCCTGGCGGGCTACAGTCCATAGGGTTGCAAAGAGTTGGACATGACTGAAGTAACTTAGCACACACATACACAGCATACACAGAGTGCTATATGCTGGGCACGGCGGGAGGCGGGTGTGTGAACAGGTAACTGGAATCCAGATGTGTTCAGGGGATCTCAGAACACAAAGCGCAGTGCCTGACTCTGACCTAACATCCACGCTGGTGAGAACAGGAGGCTGGAGCCAGACAGAACCTCAGACACTGTGAACCCAGTGAAGAATCTGAGGCCCACAGTCAGGATGGCTGCTAGCCAAAAGTCTACAAGCAATAAATTCTGGAGAGGGTGTGGAGAAAAGGGAACCCTCTTACACTGTTGGTGGGAACACAAACTAGTACAGCCACTATGGAGAACAGTGTGGAGATTTCTTAAAAACTGGAAATAGAACTTCCATATGACCCAGCAATCCCACTCCTGGGCACACACACTGAGGAAACCAGATCTGAAAGAGACATGTGCACCCCAATGTTCATCGCAGCACTGTTTATAATAGCCAGGACATGGAAGCAACCTAGATGCCCATCAGCAGACGAATGGATAAGGAAGCTGTGGTACATATACACCATGGGATATTACTCAGCCATTAAAAAGAATTCATTTGAATCAGTTCTAATGAGATGGATGAAACTGGAGCCCATTATACAGAGTGAAGTAAGCCAGAAAGATAAAGAACATTACAGCATATTAACACATATATATGGAATTTACAAAGATGGTAATGATAACCCTATACGCAAAACAGAAAAAGAGACACAGATGTACAGAACAGACTTTTGGACTCTGTGGGAAAAGGCGAGGGTGGGATGTTCCGAGAGAACAGCATCAAAACATGTATATTATCTATAGTGAAACAGATCACCAGCCCAGGTTGGATGCATGAGACAAGTGCTCGGGGCTGGTGCACTGGGAAGACCCAGAGGGATAGGGTGGAGAGGGAGGTGGGAGGGGGGATCGGGATGGGGAATACATGTAAATCCATGGCTGATTCATGTCAATGTATGACAAAACCCACTACAATATTGTAAAGTAATTAGCCTCCAACTAAAAAAAAAAAAAAAGAATGTGAGGCCCAGAAGGTTTCTCAAGGTCACCAGGCATGTAGGTGGCAGAGCTGGGACCTAACCCTCAGCCCTAGTCCTGTCGCCACCGTCGCTGCAGGTGTGGTCACTGGGTCCACAAGCCACAGCCTGAGCTGAGGACAGACCCTGTCTGCTTCTCTGTGACTTGACATTGAAAGTGCACTTTTCCCTTCCTGCCTACCGGAGGTGATCTGTCCAGCGTGGCAGCAGGTGATAAATCATCCAATGGTTCTTTCAAGGACAGCACTGACAATGCCAGCTGTCTCTTTCTCCAAGAGTTCCGTGGGCCCTTGGAAACGCCTGGCTGCTCCGGGCAGTGAAATAATTAGGTCAGACAGCACACACCCATGAAAAGCGGAATGTTTATGTCATCCAGTGCTTGCTCACTCCTCCGAGTGAGTGGTCTCTGTCCTGGGGGCCTTGGCAGACCACAAACCAATGCACTAGCCAATAAGTACAATGGACTCCGGGGCTATCTGAGGCCCAAGGGAGCCACAAGAAGCTCACCACGACAGGGAAGGAGGAGGAGGGTCATGTGGGGTCACTACCAGCTGGAACTCAAAGTTCAAGTCCATCTAAGACCCTCAAACTTCAGTGGAAACACCTGGGAAGCTTGCAGGTAAGAGATGCTCTGAAGGCAAGCAGGATGAGACAAGGTGGGGACAAGGGAGAAGCCTACATCTGAGAGTTAGAAGATGCAGGTTTCCGCACTTCTCTGCCACTAACCATGGGTGTGGCCTCAGACTTGCTCTCTGGAGCCTCAGATTTCTCATCTCTTGGACCAGATGACCTCTGAGCTCTTCTGCAGCAATGCCATCTATGATTCTAAGACTCTCTCGGGTCCACTGGCTATTATTTCCTTCAGGCTGTGATCAATGACCTAACCACATTCCTTTCTACAGGGCGACGGCCCTCTGTCTGACAGTGTGGAAACATCCTCTCCCCACAGGCCAGGACAGCCCACCCTCGCCTACAGCCCGCTCTCCTTCCTCCCCACCCTCTACAAACCACAGCAATCCCCGGGCTGCAGCAGCTTCCCTGGGGGTCAGTAGCAAGAAGATTCCAGAAGACTGTTCTCCTCTGCTCAACACAGTTCTCTGGGGGGAAGGCTGGACGTTCTCTGGGCTGCAGAGTTTGGAGCAAAGATTCCATCCTCTGCAGGACAGGGGCTGACACCGAGCGATGGTCTTCACAGGGCTCGGAAGAGAAAGTTACCTGCTGAGCTGTCATGTCATGTTTACAACATTCCTCTCAACAGGGTGACAGGCTTGAAAGCCTCCTATACTTTTGCTCCTTGCTCAGAAGAAAGATTTGTTTAGGACACTTAACAAAAACCAGGCCCCTTTTTTTCTTAGCAGCTCAAGCCACTGGGAGAAGGGCAAACTGTTCCCAACCTCTGGTGGCAGGGAGAGAATGTTCACAGCACTAACCTAGGGGGGGAAGTAAGATTTGGAATTCTGTGCCTGGGTAGTCCACAGCCTCATGAATTCCGAGTTCTTCTCCTGGAGATAGGGCCTGGAAATTCCAGCTTTCTCAGTGGGGCCGTGGGGAGCACTGGCTTAGGAGTTGGGAAACCTCTGTTAGAATATCCAATGGTTGCTAATATGTTGTCTTATCTTGGTTGTTTACTTCCTTCTTGGGGCCTCAGCTTCCAAATCCATAAAATGGGGACAATGTTCTCTAACGCCCTTCCAGCTTGAGCTACCTGGAGAGAGGTGTAGGACTGTCTGACAGAGCAGGGGTGCTGGATATGTGGGTGTGCACTCTGTCGTGTCCGACTCTCTGCGACCCCATGGACTGTAGCCCGCCAGGGTCCTCTGTCCATGGAATTCTCCAGGCAAGAATACTGGAGTGGGTTGCCATTTCCTACACCAGGGGATCTTCTCAACCCAGGGATAGAACCCGTGTCTCTTATGTCTCCTGCATTGGCAGGAGGGTTCTTTACCACTAGCACCACATGGGAAGCAGGTGCTGGAGGGAGGAGGCAAAGCCAGAGGGACTGGAAAGGACAAAGCCAGCCCAGGCTGGGCTCCCACGTGATGCTTTCTGTGAAGAGAAGCCAAGGAACACTCTCCCCACGCCTTACCTTGCCCCAACCGGGAGCCCGTGATGGCCTCTCTGGCACTCCCGAAGCCCAGCTCTCTGCAGACCACGCTGGCAGACACCAGGTCCCACTTGTCGTCGCAGACGGTACCCCATTCTCCATTCTTGAGCACCTCCACGCGGCCCTCCCCGACGTTGGCGCCACCTCTCAACCGCACCAGGGGTTGCTGAAGAGACACACCGTCTTGCTGAGCACAGCCTGCTGCCCTCTCTTCACGATGCCCCCCGTCTCCCCACTCCAAACCCAGGCACCAGACTAGGAGTTGACAGCGCACTGTCTGAGCGAGCGTCTGCGGAGGGGACGGGAAGCGCGCATGCTCACTGTGTGTCCAGCGCTGCGGCAGGCTCCCCTTGCAGTCTTCGTCCTGGACCACGGGCCGCCCTTCAGGGACTCTCATCAACCCCTCGTCCCTGTCCATCCTTGTTCTAGGGCCTAACCACTAGGTCCTTCCCTCCATGCCCTCACTCCAGAACCTGAAGCTTCAGCACTATCGAAAGACGCTCCTACCCACAAAGTCAGCAGATTCCAAACGATCCTAATTCTATCAGACGGGTAACAGAGTGCTTGTCCAGTCCTAGGGGAGATTCCAGGGCACAAAGGTGATCACACCGCAAGAATCCTGCCCTGCAGGCCCATGAGAGGCAGGAGAAGGAAGACATAAGGTGAGAGGGCGGGGCCTGACCAAGGCAGCCAAGACTTGGAGTTCTGCCCAGACAAGGGGACGGGGCGCCTCCCACTGGTTAAGACCGACATCTGTTCCGCAGCTGGACTTCGGCCTGGTCACCACTCCTGCTTCTGCCACCCTCGACTCTACTCCAAGCCCAGACCAGGCCAGCCCTTCAGGAGACACAGCCCCGCCAGCTATTCAGAGAGAGCAGGTGCTTACAGTTTGTTGTTCAGTCACTAAGTCGCGTCCCACTATTTTGTGACCCCATGGGCTGCAGCTTGCCGGGTTCCTCTGTCCATGGGATTTCCCAGCAAGAGTACTGGAGTGGGTTGCCACTTCCTTCTCCAGGGGATCTTCCCAAATCAGGTATTGAACCCCCATCTCCTGTGTCTCCTGCATTAGCAGGTGGATTCTTTACCACCGTGCCATCTGGGAAGCCCAGTTATAGTTTAATTGCCCCTAATTGCTCACCATCGGCCTTGAAGCCTTAACAGTCTTATGGGGTTTATTTATAATTGCACAGGAGTAAGACCCACTCTTCACAAGCATCTTAATCCCACTGGGTCATACCTTACAAGATAGGAGATGGGTCAATTGACTCCCATCTGCCCACATACCCTGCTTTGCATCCGTTTCTGTGTGTGTGTGCGCGCATGCGCACATGTGGGGATGGATAACAGAAGGCTGTGAGGCTCTGAACGATTTCTTCTATTTGATTCAATACAAAGGGAGTGTGGGGTAACTGCAGCCCTTCTGTGTGTGTGGGATCAGGCCAGTCACTGTCCTACTTTGGCCTCTGCAGTTCACAGCCCCGGACTCCATCCCACTCAGTGATGGAGGCATCCCACTTCCATCCCACCCCGGAATGAGGCAGGCCTGGTTGGTGGTGGCGTCTTTCAAACATTAACATATACCAGTCACCCTGAGCTTACCTCGTCGCTCAGTTGGTAAAGAAGCTACCTGCAGTGCAGGAGACTGCAATGCATGAGATGCGGGTTTGATCCTTGGGTTGGTAAGATCCCCTGGAGAAGGGAATGGTAACCCTGTCCAGTATTCTTGCTTGGAGAATCCCATGGACAGAGGAGCCTGGTGGGCTACAGTCTACAGGGTTGAAAGTGTCGGACATGACTGAGCAACTAAAACCACCACCACCTCTAAGAAAACCACCACCAGTCACCTTGAAAGCCAAGACATTGAACAAGAGGCTGTGTCTCCATCTTCCAGTCAAGGCCTGCACCCCAGTTACTGACCTGGGGTGACGACCCTGGCATAGAGGGAGAAGAAAAGAGGGACAGGGAGGGGCTGCAAAACCCCTCACTGGCTTCAGGAATCTTCATTCTAGCTTTAGCAGAACACGACAAATACAACTGCTGCACCCAGCCAGATGGCTGTAGAATCATGACCTTTCCCATCCCCCACTTCCCTTCCCAAGCTGCCTAGCCAGATTCCAGGGTCCCCTTCCCATGGAGCGGACTGTCCGTGACTCAAGCTTGTGGGAGGCAGAGTTCCAAGTAACCTCACCCCATCTAGCAGTGGCCAGGCAGAGTCAGCTGGCCCTGGAGGAAAATAAAGAAGGGAAAATGTGATGTAAGCCTCGCTTGATCTTTTTTTTTTTTTAAATTGGTTTGGTATAACTTGATTCCTCTGCTTTCAACCACACAGTAAGAGGAAATCCAAAACAGTAGGACCTGGTATTCTGGATGACACATGAGGCAAGCTCAGAGGCTCAGGCTGAGGCTGTGGAAAGGGTGTGGCCATCAAATCATGTGGCTGGAGGGGAAGCGAAGGGCCGTGGGGGCTGGCACTGTCCAGGTGTGCCTGGGTGGCCTGCCTGCACACGTGAGATGTGTGGTCAGGTCCATGCAGTTTGGAGGCCCCTGTGGGGCAGGCGGAGGGTGCGGGAGGGCTGGTTGCTGGCCAGAAGTGTCTGGAAGACACCCCAAAGAGTTCCCACATCCTCTGGTCGATGCCTGGACTTGCTGCATTCATCTCACGCCTTTATTTAAGGCTTATTCTTTTGTCGAAATATACCACCCCAGCCTTTCCAAATACAGCATCCAAAGCTGTTTATCTGGTTTCTGCATCAGTTTCCCGTTTCTACTGGATAAGTACATAGGGGATCACTCCCTATCCACGAGCAGGTTGATAGATGTTGATGGAGAGGAGAGATTGGAGAGGGAGATGGGGTGGGGGGCTTCCCAGATGGCACTAGTGCTAAAGAACCTGCCTGCCAATGCAGGAGACACAAGGGACGTGGGTTCGATCCTCGGGTTGGGAAGATCCCCTGGAGGAGGGTATGGCAAACCACTCTAGTATTCTTGCCTGGAGAATCCTATGAATAGAGGAGCCTGGCAGGCTATAGTCCATAAGGTGGTACAGAGTCAGACACAACCAAAGTGACTTAGCACAAACGCAAGCATGGGGCAGAGATGGGGGAGGGGACAGCAGATGCAGAGTGAGGCTGCCTTGGCTTGGGGAGCGGCTGTTACTATCCCTCCCCCCCCGCAAATACCAATTCCCAAGTTTCGTCTGGCACAGGGCATCATTCGTTAACAAATGATTAGCTCTTTTTCCTATACTATCCCTCTACTATTCCCACTCACTGGTCCAGATTAGTTTCCAGAACATGCATGTCACAGAGAACCTTTAGGGATATGTGCGAAAAGGAGAGTGGGAAAAAAGATGAGCCAACTAGTGATTTCCGAGGGAAGGGAGGATAGTGCACTTGCTCTTCTTCAGGGGGGCTTCCTGAGTAGCTCAAATGGTGGTAAAGAATCCCTCTGCAATGCGGGAGACCTGGGTTCGATGCCTGGGTTGGGAAGATCCCCTGAAGGAGAGCATGGCAACCCACTCCAGTATTCTTGCCTGGAGAATTCCCACAGATAGAGGAGCCTGGTGGGCTATAGTCCATGGGGTCACAAAGAGTCAGGCAATACTGAGTGACTAACATTTTCACTTTCTTTCACTTTTCTTCAGAGGAGTCATCAAGCCTGCCTTGGCCAGGACAGCTCACCGGTCCTGAGGAATCAGTCCATTGAGATGGGGATGAAAATTCAGATGTGCATCTGCACCTCTTTAATACACCTCCCCCCACATGCAGGTGCTGATTCACAAACATACAGTGTGATAACAGGCACAGATAACATAGATGTGGTGATGACATGTTTCCATTTACAGGAAGTCCCCTATGTATGAACCTTCAAGTTGTGAACTTTCAAAGATGTGAACTTGTGTTTGCATGTCAAATCATGTAAGTGAGTTAGTGTCCAGCGTCCACTGTCACATGGCTGCATCCTCTACAAGTGTCGTGCTTTTCTGTACTTTACTATACAGTACTATACACTGTAGTATATATTTACATATCTATGTATGTAGTATAGTATGCAGTTGTTTAGTCACTAAGTCGTATCCGACTCTTGGAGACACCATAGACTGTAGTCCACCAGGCTCCTCTGTCCATGGGGTTTCCCAGGCGAGAATATTGGAGTGGGTTGCCATTTCCTTCTCCAGGGGATCTTCCTGACCCAGGAATCGAACCCTTGTCTCCTGCAAGGGCAGGTGGATTCTTTATCACTGAGCCACCAGGAAAGCCCATAGAATATAGCAGTACCACATTTTTATTTCAAGCCTAGGATGTCCAGAAGCAAATGTAAAAGCAGTGGTACATAACTGATTGTGTTAGTTGGGTACCTAGGCTAATTTTGCTGGACTTACGTACAAACTGGATTTTTAACGTACTCTTGGAACAAAAGTCATCCATATGTAGGGACTTACTGTACTAACTCTGTGAAAGCTTTTAAAAGTTGCTATTCTTTCTGATGCAGAATAAGTAAAACCTGTTTGAAAACCATTGTATCTGATTTCTTATGCTTCTGAGAGGTGGATCACCTTTCCAGTGGCTCTGAAACTGAGTGTTAGTCCCTCAGTCATGTCTGACTCTTTGAGACCCCATGGACTGTAGCCCGCCAGGCTCCTCTGTCCATGGAATTCTCTAGGCAAGAATACTGGAGTGGGTGGCCATTCCCTTCTCCAGGGGATCTTCCTGACCTGGGGATCGAACTCATGTCTCCTGCATTGCAGGCGAATTGTTTTCCCATCTGAGCCACCGGGGCAGCCTGCCAAGGGCTCTAGGATGCTTGATTTCTCAGGGAATCTCCCAGAAGCCCCTGGTTCTCACCGCCCCCCCACCCCCAACCCTTCATGCTGGTCCACAGACAGCACGCAGAACCTGTGGTGGTCCGTAGTGAGACACAGCCCTCTCATGGTGTTTGTCTGCCACGGGGGCACACTAGTCTCGGAGGTGAGCAGCAGTGTCAGAAGGACAGGTAGGGGCGCTCATGACCAGGGACAGGTTCCCAGCTGCTGGTCACACCCCAGCAGTGGCATCTGTCAGTGAGGCTGGCCCTGACAAGTGTCCTGCATCTTCCTGCCCTCTAGAAAAGTGGTCCGAGTTGCTGCCGTTTCTCTTGGCAGGGGGAGTGGGGGGGGCGGGTCCCTGTCTGATCCTTTAACCACCAGCCCACCCCTCCAGGTACCAAATCTGCCACCCTATCCTCACCTCTGGCTTGTAGGCTTTCCGGAATCTTGACGGTCCATCAGGACTGAAGACCTGGCCGGGCACACAGCTCACCACAGCCGGAAGCCCATTCTCACAGGTGACATTCTTGACGGGGTCCAGCGACACCTGAGGGCCCAACTTGCAGCTGGAGATGTGGGCCTCCGTGCCTGTGCAGTCCATGGAGTATGGCCAGTAGCGCTGCTTCTTGCGGGCAGCAAACATTCTGCGGAAGGTGAGACAGGGCAGGTGACCAAGACATCATGCTGCCCACCCCTCCCTTCTTCCACAGCTGGGCAACTGACCCCTGCCCGGGGCCAGTCACTGAGGTAGTGGAACCAGATAGACATGGTCCCCGCTCCTGCAGTTCAGTCTTGCTCCAGACAGGGCTCTGCAGGGCATGTCTGCCAGCACTCACTGGTCATGCTGGGCACTGGGGAGCCAGACCTGGAAGGGCAGTCATGGCTTCCTGCTTCCAGGGAGCTCATGTTCTAGGAGACAAGGGTCTAACTCAGTGTGTGTGCATGCTAAGTCGCTTCAGTCACGTCTGACTCTTTGTGACCCTATGGACCATGGCCCACCAGGCTTGTCTGTCCATAGGATTCTCCAGGAAAGAATACTGCAGTGGGTTGCCATGCCCTCCTCCAGGGGATCTTCCCAACCCAGGGACTGAACCCAAGTCTCTTACATCTCCTGCATTGGCAGGCAGGTTCTCTACCAATAGCGCCACCTGGGAAGCCCCTAACTCAATGTAGTGACATATGATACTAATGCCTATAGATGCAAAGTGTAAAAAGGGATCTTGGAGAGACAAATACAATGTGATATCCCTTAGCCAAAAAAAGAAAGAAATAACGTCATTTGCAGCAACATGGACGGACCTCGAGATGATTATACTAAGTGAAGTAAGTCAGACAGAAAAAGACAAATATCATAGGATATCACTTATGTGTGGAATCTAAAACAAATATTACAAAATATTTACAAAACAGAAACAGACTCAACAGACATAGGAAACAGACTTGTGGTTACCAAAGCGGCAAAGGGGGGAAGCTACCCTTCCCTCTCTCCTGTCCTCGGTCTTTGAAGTCTGTGGGCTCATCGGTGATTGGCAGAATCCAGTGAGACGCACTGCTGCCGGACTGCCCAGAAGAGGGGCTGCCCAGGGCAAGTTGGCCCCAGATGAACAGAAGTGGAGTCCTGTCCCCACTGGTCTAGCAGGCCGGGAAGTTTCTGCTTTGCCTCAGAGTGAATGGGATGTGAACAGAGAGGAAGAATAAATCTGACAGATGCCACTGATATCTCTCCTTACCAAAAACTGTGACTATTCTATGCATGCAATGACACAGTATCCTTGAAAGAAAAAGGACTGTCTTGGAAAGCTCAGGGTTTGCGCTCAACATAGCTACAGCCAGAGCACAGGACTACACAGGAGGACTGTTAATAATCCCAAGAGCCAGGGCTTCCCTGGTGGCACAGTCAATGGGAGTCTGTCTGCCAATGCAGGGACACAAGTTCGACCCCTGGTCCGGGAGGATCTACATGCTGCGGAGCACCTAAACCCACACATCACAGCTACTTAGCCTGTGCTCTAGAGCCTGGGAGCTGCAGCTATGGAGCCCATGCACCCTAGAGCCTGTACTTTACAACAAGAGAAGCCACTGCAACAAGAAACGTTTGCACCGCAACAAAGAGTAGATCCCACTCGCCGCAACAAGAGACAGCCTGTGCAAAGCAATGAAGACCCAGCGTAGCCAAAATAAATGAATAAAGAAGAAGTGAAAAAGAATTCCAAGAGCCACCACCCCTCCCCATTCCCTGGAAGGCCCTGCTCTTGGAAACACAACCTCCAGTTTGTTTCCCATGACACTCGTACCTGGGACAGCAGAACACACTTGTGGTGGGTAGGATATTGTAGCTTGCTATCACACAAGTCAGGTGAGCAAGGACACCCAGGGGATGTCAGGGGCATGGGGAGCGGTCAGATTTCACTGCATCGGAACATCTTCTAGCTCCCAGCTTTCAGTGACCACCAGCCTCTCCCAGGAACAGATGTGCTGAGCTCTCAACGCAGAAGCTCCCTCAGCAGACAGAGCTGCTCTTCCTTCCCCAGAGAGCCCCTCTGTCCTCTGACCTCAGATCACTGGAATGCAATCCTCCACAGGCCTCCGCCAGGGCAGCCCACCCCACCCCCATGAGTCACTCTCACAGGCCACCCCTCCCCCACCCCGGGATGTAGACGCGGGGATGCAGATAGGAGGCACTGCGGAGGATGGAGGAGCTTCCCAGGGGGTTTCCCAGTGGTAAAGAACCTGCCTGCCAACGCAGGAGACATTAGAGACGTGGGTTCTGTCCCTGGGTTGGGACGATCCCCTGGAGAAGAGCATGGCAACCCACTCCAGTATTCTTGCCTGGAGAATCCCATGGACAGAGGAGCCTGGTGGGCTGCAGTCCATGGGGTCACAAAGAGTCGGACTCGCCTGAAGTGGCTTAGCACACACATTCACACATGGACAACCCACTCTAGGCCTGATGGTGGGCGACTGGAGTTACAGGACAGGCACCGGCCAAGCAGGAAGCTTGCTTGAGAAAGAGGCATCTAGGCTGATGGCTGGGTAACATTGAGCTGAACTGATTCAACTGAAAATGAGACGTCCTCCTTGCTCTCCTCCAGCCAAGGAGCACACCAGGCTTGGGAGGGATTCTGCCTGCTCTGTGAGACTGTCCACCTCAATTATGCATTCTGGAACCAGGGAAATAACCACAGCGTGGGTTCGGGGACCCACCGAGCCCACTGTGATATGGGCCTGCGCCAAACCTCCACTGATCACCTGACATCCACACTCTGACTGTGGGCCGCAGGGATGTTTGGGTCCCTGGAACCAGGGTCCGTTCAGAGCCTGTGTCCAGTGGTTCCTGACAGTTGTGATCATTTCCTTTTCTCCAGTGTACAATACAGTGACCTTGGTAAAAGGTCATAGATCCCATTGGGTAAATGACTAAGAGGATACACTTCTGGCTGTGTGCCACAGTCCTTCTTCAAGGAGACCTGGCCTCCTCTTCATTCAAGGGCTTATAGGTCTGTAAACTTTCTCAAGTCTGGACATTGAGGGGCTGGACCTGTTTTTATGATTCAGATCAGATTTTTGTTCTCTTAACCTAGAAATTTTCTGCTTTTACAGATTGAATAAGAACCAAATAGGCTTCCTATTTCATTTCTGGGAATACCATGAGACAGCCAGCTGGATCAACTGCTCAACCCCACAAGTCTGCAGGGGCCAGTCTATTCTGATTACTGCTTTGACTTTGCTGGCCACTCAGTAGCCACGCCTGCCCATCTTGCCTTTGGCCTTCAGTGCTGTCACCAGGTCCCTGCCACCCGGGATCTAATTACCCCCACTGCCTTTAGGTTTCCTGACCTGCAAGGACTACAGCCCCACCCTGAGGTCTGGCTTAGAGAAGAACCCTCAGGGAGCTCTTAAGAACCGGGGGTGGGGGGGGGTGGGGGGGGCTTCCCTGGAGGTCCAGTGGTTAAGAATCCTCCTTGCAATGCAGGGGACACGGTTTGATCCCTGGTCAGGGGACCTAAGACCCCCTGAGGAGCAACTGAGCCTTCAAGCACTGGAGAGCGTGTGCCACAACTAGAGAGCTTGCGCACTGTAATGAAAGATCTCGCATGCCACAGCCAAGACCTATGCAGACAAATAAATAAATAAAAGAACCAGAGAGGGAGTCAGGACTTCCCTTATAAATTTATTCCTCTCTGTCATGGTGAAACATCTGTCTTCTGGACCCATTTGTCTTAGATGACAAATCCATGACAACATTCTAGTCTCCCCAGGCTTCTGAATCCCTTTCTCTACATGAAACCAAAGGGACTCAGCATTTTTAATTTGGTCTGGCGGGCCTCATTTTGGTCCCTGTTTCAGCCAGCTCACCAAAGCCTTACAGTCCTAACTCCTGAGATGCAACATGAATGCAGTCTCTGTTCAGTAATCATGTATCAATAAATCAATACCAGTAATGGGATCTTGCTTTAAGAAAAAGAAAATGACTACACAATATTCCTGGTCTGGGAGATGGGGCCCTGTGGCTTCAGTCTGATCAATTTCCAGGTACATGGACCACTTCCCAGTCTGTGAGAGGGTCATCTGCAGCCCAGCTGCCAAACGGACCTGAGGTGAGAGATCCCCCTTCAACAGCCAGAAGATGACTCTGGTCCACCCACAGTTGAGGAGGTTTTCAGAAGCCCTCTGAACAAGCCACGTGTTGCCTGGCCTCGGGCACCCTGTACTGCTGCAGAGAAGGGCTGATGGCAGCCTTCCTGCTCCCAGGACTGGGTGAAGACCTGTGCCAGGCTGGGGGCTCCAGTGGGGCCAGCAGGTAGGAAGCCTGTCAGGGGAAGGGATCTACTTTTCTTGGCTCCAATTGGAAGGAAAGGCTGAGAAGGTGTCTCCAGGGAAGGAGCCAGCCAGCTGGCGGGAAATTCTCCAAACTATTTAGAGAACGGGACCACCCTGCCTGCCCCCATCCCCCTTCCCAAACAGGAAGATCTGGGTCATGTCTGGAGCGGCTGGGGCAGGAATCACCACCAGGCAGCTCGGCAGCCAGCACTCACCCTCACGGTGGACCAGAGGCTCTGACCGAAGGAGCCAGGCCGAGCCCAGGAAGGAACGAAGCCTGCACTGACCCCAGGGACTGGGGGGAGAGTTTGGGCAGGGACCCCTGTTTCCTGGCTGGAAGCCACCTCTCTCCTTGGCTTGAAAGGGAAGAGGTAGTAAGTCTGCACTCTTGAGGAGGGTGGACCCTGTTGCCGGAGACCCGGGGTGGATCCTGAGTCTGCCACTTCCTAGTTTGATCACCTTTCTCTGACTCCATTCCTTTAGCTGAAACATAGACCCCTTCCTAGGATTGTGACGCTTACGCGGCTAAGAGGGCTTCCTTGGTGGCTCAGATCATAAAGAATCCACCTGCAATGCAGAAGACCCAGGTTCGATTCCTGAGTCAGGAAGAACCTCTAGAGAAAAGAACAGCTACCCACTCCAGTATTCTTGCCATTGGGTCACAAAGAGCTGGACATGACTGAGCAACTAACACTTAAGAGACTAAGAACAGAGCCACCTGGCATGTAGTCAGTGCTCAGTAAAGTAGATTATTATCCTTATTAGAGGAGATAAGAAGACCCCATGACCAGTCAATACACCAGCCTGTCAAGGACTGAAAACCCTTCACCGGACACCTGTCCCCAAATTACTCTAAGTCCCCTTTCCCTGCCTGGGGAGATATTAACTTTGGAAACCATGACAGCATCGCAAGATTTATTCAGGATGAATGTAACTGAATCCACGAGATCCGTTTCTCATTTTCCTAACAGTTGCAGATTTCTCATGATAATCACTTCGAGGGGGCAGAGGACAGAGGTGGCCCCGGCCACTGCATTCTATGTCTGCATCTCCATTGCGGCGCCGCAGATAGGTTCGTCAGCACCGCCTTTCTAGATTGCATATATATGGGTGAATATCCAATACGAGGTCAATGCAGGCCTCCCCAGTGGCTCAGTGGTAAAGAATCTGCATGCAATGAGGGAGACACAGGAGACACAGGTTTGATCCCTGGGTCAGGAAGATCCCCTGGAGGAGGGCATGGCAACCCACGCCAGTATTCTTGCCTGGAGAATCCCATGGACAGAGGAGCCTGGTGAGCACAGCCTGTAGGGTCGCAGAGTCTACTGAGCACGCACACATGCACACTGAGCCACCGCAGGGCTGACTGAGGACAAGCTGGGGCCGGAGTCCCGCCGCGCAGAGTCCCCGCCCAGACTGCTTACTTGTACACTTTGGTGTTGTAGGTTTTCTCCCCAGGGAAGCCGAACATGCCGCAGACCACGCGGGAGTTCTTAGCCGTCCAGTGCTTGTCACAGATCTGCTTCCACGTCTTGCCCTCTTTTACCTCCACGTAGCCCTCTGTCACCGGGGTGCGCTTGCGGAAGGCGGAGAGGATGGCTCGGATCCGGATGTCCTCCACTTGGATGTTCATGTTCTGGGAGGGGAGGGGGTGGAAGGAGATGGGTGACTTTCCTGGTCTGGCCCTGGGGAGGTGATGGCAGACTGGGCTTATCCTGAGAGTCTGCCCACCTCTCCCCTCGGGCTCTTGTGTGCTCCCTAAGAGCACACAGCACATGCAGTGGGGCTGCAGGAGCCAGAAGAGAAGGAGCAGGGTGACCCAGGCAATCAGAGACTTAGGGGAGCCCAGCGCTCCTCCTCTATCCTATCAAAAACACCAGAGGGCAGCAGCCTCCTCATGCAGGGGTCTCAAAGAGCAGAGGAGAGAATCGCATTCCTTGAATGCTGTATTCTAGAGGCAAAATCATTCAGATGGTTGTATTTTACTTCAACGCATCTGTGTGCAGGCCTAGGAGTGAGTGTGTGTGTGTGCCTTCCCAACAATCTGCCTCTAAAACTGAAATTTTGGGCAGATGAGCCCCAGATACCCTGAGCTGGTGGGACCACGTTGCACACCGCCTCATGTACTCCCCTCATGTCAGCAGTCTTCAGGGTGAAAAGCCAGAAGGGAAAGGGGAAGGTTTGGAGAGAAGGGGGAGGAAAGGAGGTATGTGCCTGGACCCAGGCCAGCCAAGCAGGAGGGGCAAGCCTGGGGCCCAGGATGTAGGGATGCACACAGTCATGCAACTATGCCAAGGAAAGGAAAGGACAGATTCTGAATATCTTGAGGCCCTTGTCTTGAAAGCCCCTGTTCACCCGTCTCCTCTCCCCATTTCTGTGGCAGTGAGTGAAAAGGCAGGAGCCTGCTAGGAGGATGTGGAGAAGGCTGGGGTTGAAGGTGGGCTCCTCTCCCAGCCCCTGACACTGGGCTGCTCTGTCCCTGCCCCTAGCCCACACTCTCAACAGACCAAGCTGGATGGAGGAACAGGGGCCTACCTGGAATTTTCCAGGATGATATCTTTTATGTTTCTCCAAGGTTCTCACAAATCTGCCCCAAACACTAAGGATGCTCCAGAATCTCTCACTTCCAGCCCATCTTCTTTCTGCCCCTGCCCAAGGGCCCACCACCAGCTCTCACAAGGCTCCCCAGCTGAGTCCCTGCCTCCCTGCTCTCCTCCATCCATCTGACACAGGGCCAGTCCCCAGAGGACTTCTTATAAACCACAGCTAACCTTGTCCCTTGGCTGACTGCACCTATACCTCAGCCCCAAATCTACAGTCAGCTAGGATGATGCTGGGAAAGATTGAAGGTGGAGAAGAAGGGGACAACAGAGGATGAGATGGTTGGATGGTTATCATTGACTCAATAAACATGGGTTTGAACAAGATCCAGGAGATAGTGAAGGACAGGGAAGCCTGGCATGCTGCAGCCTGGTCACAAAGAGTCAGACATGACTGAGTGACTGCTCAACAATAATAATAGGACAATAACAAGTACCACTACTTTCTGGGCATTTTCTCACTTAATCCTCAAACAATAGAGGTCTTTATAGTTAGTGTCATCTCCATTTTCCAGATAAGAATACTGGGTGACTCCAGTGATCTCCCAGGACCACAGAGAGGCAGAGAGCACCTGAGGTTTGGTGTGTGATGCTCTCTGAACCACGCCACAGGGGACTGGGCAGGGATGCTGGCAAAGAGGAACCCAACGATTTGGGTGCCCACACCCCAGTCCAGCCAGGATGCAAATAAACTGGGAGTTTGAACAGAACCATTATTTGGGTGCCCAGGGACTCAGCTCTCCTTGCCACTGGCTTCAGGGTGCAAAGCCAGGCCCCATTTCCCCAGTCCTGCGAGGTGGTGGAAAGTATGTTGGCCGGCGTGGTGGTGGGGGGGTGGCATCTAGCCCTGGTTCCTTTCCATGCAGAGCGGAAGGAAAGCCGCCAGTGGCAGGATTATGTTTGCCAGCCTGGATCCTTGGATCCATCACAGCTCCCAGTCAGGCCACAGGGCTCGCGCCACCAAGACACATGGACAGGAGTGAGCAAGAAAGGGCTGGAGGTCTAGACTGGCTCGTGGGCCAGCCCTCTCCTCCGACTTACCACCTCGGGAGGCCAGGCTGGAATTCCAGCGTGTAAGGAATGTGTCATGCCCAGAAGGAAGTTACCCACTGTGGCACTGGCCCTGACAGCTGCACGGGGCAGGCAGGCTGGGTAGACTTGATTAAATTCACAGATCCTCCCCCTCCCCCCAGCCCCCTGCCCCCTTTCCCTCCTCTCGGCCCATGGAGCATCAGCTCAGCTGGGATACAGAGTGTGAATCCACAGGGAGGAAGGCCAGGGTGGGGGAGCTCAACTGACCCTTGTCTCAAGGCTGGGCAGTGTCCCCTCAGCATAATAACGACTGGTGGGCAAGTCAGCTAGGGTCCCAGATGCAGGAAATGAGGCTCAGAGGAGAGAAAGTGCTAGAACTGATGTCACTGTTCTTGTATTCCCACTGACTCACTGCATGTGTGTGTGTGTGGGCACTAGTGTGTATGTTTGGTGTCACGAATATGTCTCTCTGGATGTGTGTCTCTGCACGCATTTGTGCATCCACGTATGTGTCTCTAGGGGAGCTCATGTTCCTGTGTGTCCGTGTGCAGGAGGATGTGCACATGTCTGTGTGTTGTGTGGAGTGTGTGTCTGTGCACGCAGTACGAAGATGCAGAGGGTTTCCCTGCAAAGCCCTGGGAGAGCAGTCAGGCAAGTTCCTTCTCCTCTTCTCTCTCCACAGAACTAATTCCTTCCCACCATCTTGGGCTCAAATCCACCTCAGTCATTCATTCATCCATCCCATAAAATACAGTCGCTCCCTCCGAGGACCCTGGCAGCCTCCTCCCTACTGCCCAACCCTGGGGCCCTGGTTCTTCTCTGAATCATAACGATTATGTGAGCCCTCATTCATCAAATGCCAGCCAATTCATTACGTGTCAGGCTCTGCCCTCAGAACTTTACATCCATCCCCTTCCTCAGTTCCCATAACAACCAGTGAGAGGACTAGTGGTATACCCTGGCTGGCTATAGGTGAAAAGCAAGAAAACTTAGTGAGGTTTGGCATCTTCTCCAAATTCACACAGCCAGCAAGTAGATAAACAAGGGTGAAAACCGAGTTCTGACTCTAAGTCCATGCCCCAGGCTCACCACAGTGGGCCTCTGGGTCTTCATCCTTCTGCCTTCATCCCATCCCTTGCCAGCTACTGAGATGACATGCCTGGGCCTGGGACTCGGCCTTCTGAGGCATCCTTTGGGGGTCCGTCCGATAAAAGCCCACATTTGAAGTCCTCCCTGCGCCCTGCCCAGAGAAGCTATGAGTCAGGCTGGAGTGTACGTGAGATGAGAGGGTTGCCTCCCAGCTGCCCTTGGACTCAGGCCAGGGGGCAGCAGGGAAACCCTCAGTGGCACGCAGTCAGGGCTCGCTGCTGGCTAATGAGCTCACAGGGGCTGTTCAGAGAGCTGTGTAGGAAAACACACGTACACACAGAACGGCCCTCCTGACCTCACTGCCTTGGAATCCTTTCCATAACCGCAAGCATTAGACATTTTTTTCCCCCAGAAGTTCAACTTCAAAAGAGCAGTGAAGATTTGAAACACTAAAACCTATACACATTTTTCTTTTCTAACAGAAGTCTCTTTAGACTGGCCTGTTTCACATTTAACCCAAGAGCCCAGAAGCCGTCAATATATCTGGCCCCTTTTAAAACTCGAAAGTCTGAAGGCTGGCCCTCCGGCCAGAGACTGGAGTTCACCAAACTCTCCAAAAGGCTTCCCTCCAAGGAATTCACAGAACCTTCTGGACTTGTCCTACTCAAACTCAGCACATCTCCAGGGAGGGTCTGAGCCCTGGGAGTGACTATCACTGGCTTCCAAAGGGGAAAATCAGGGTGCCCTGAGGCCATAACCTGCCCTGCTGTACCTAGTGGGGTGGTGGAAAGAAGGACGAGTGAATGATCACCAGGGCTGCTCTCCCAGTCTTGTGCTTGAATGACATTTCACATTTGCAGCATCTGTGAATGACTTGCAGATTCCACAATGTGACAGTCTGGGGCTATTGCCAAGGAGGAAAAATCACCAGTTTTGAAAGTCTAGTTGGGGATTGCATCAGGGAAAGATTCAGGGGGAGACAAGGCAAGCAACCCTCTGAGGACGCACCGCACTGCTGAAAGTTGGCACTCGGCTCATCGCCTCCTGTGGAGGGCATGTTTCCAAAAGCCAGATCTTAGTCCAATTCTTCCCCTTCCTCCTTCTAGAAGTTATCATTTGATCATGCAATTAATTACTTAATGTATCAGACCAAGCCTTCCCACCTGAGAAGTCATCCGTGGAGTGGTGTCAGGTGGGAGGATGGAGAGGTAGTGGTCCCCCATCATCCCACCAGAACAGACGACTGGTTCGTTCTGCACAACTGCTGCTCACTTAGTAAGCCCCTTCCCTCTACAGCTAACAAGTTCCTGCATCTTGCTCTCAAAGCCCTTTATTTTTTTGGCTATTTTCTAAATTACCTATTTATTTAATTTTTGTCTGCGCTGGTTTTCATTGCTGCTTGGGTGTTTCTCTAGTTGCCAGGAGTGGGGCTACTCTGTAGTTAGGGTGTTCGGGCTTCTCACTGCAGTGGCGTCTCTTGTTAAGGAGCATGGGTTCTAGAGAGTGGGGCCTCAGCAACTGCAGCAGGAGGGCTCAGAAGCTGTGGCTCCCGGGCTCGAGAGCACAGGCTCACAGCTGTGGTGCATGGGCTTAGTTGCTCTGCGGCATGTGGGATCTTCCCAGACCAGGGATCTGTCTCCTGCACTGGCAGGCAGATGCTTTACCACTGAGCCTCCAGGGAAGCCCCTATGCAGCTATTGTTAAAAAATGGGCTTCCAGATAGAGATCCATTTTCCCAGGGGCCACCTTGGCAACTTCGTCAGCACCTCACACCAAACGCACCCAGGATGCCCTTGGTCTTCCCTCTTCTCACTGAGCGAGGCAATGCCCCCCCCAGTTTGCAGCCCGCAAGCCTCTTGCTCCCTCTCTCTTCCTTGCTCTTATCGCTCATTCTGCCCCAGGCATGCTTTTGCTA